GCCAGAAAGCCCGGTTTAGGGTTATAGAAATAAAAGTAGTATCATCCATTTATGAATGATTCATAGATCCTATATCTTTTTTCATTTTTCTAATTATGCCGTTAAATCATTAAAAAATATCAATTTTAACTAAACATTTTTAAACAGTTTGAAATAAAAAAGTTATGAAGACAATTTGTATATTTATGTATATATATTTGTATATTTATGTATATATATTTGTATATTTATGAGTAAAAAGAATAAGAAACAAATCCAGCAGCTGTTACGGCGCGTCGTCTTTATGAAAATATTCTATAAATAGTATAATATCGCAGGAATAATATACGATTCATTTTACGCCAGGGTCAGATACTTCAAACAATAGAAAATTGGCATTATTATATAATGCAGTTTCATTGTCTTACGAAAATTATGTATTTAGTCCTCACCATTAGTTATAGAGAGCACGGGGGGGGGATTATTGGTGGGTTTCGAAAAAAGAGAAAATAGTACTGATTACATCCTGCAAACATGTTAATCTTATAGATTATGTTGCATCTGCAAGAAAATAAACTCATTTTTTTAAATTATAACTTTTAATGTTTATTTTTGTATTGGAATTTTTAATTTTTTATTTGTTGTTCTCTGTAATTTTTTATTTGTCTTTTCGTTCAACTCTTAACTTAATTATTTGCATGTGATTAATAAAGGGTATTGGATAATGACCTGGATCTATGTGAATGTTTGCATTATATCTTATGTATCTGATGTATAAATCCCTTGTTTGTTAGCAAAATAACAATATGACTTTTACATAATTCCTTTCTGCAGTCAACTGTTTTATAATGAATTTTTATTTTTTAACATATGTCGGACACTGAGTAATAAGTAATGGGAGGGGGATATGAACGGGAGGGGGGGGAGGAGGATCTAATTTCCAAGGCTAAACTTAATTGTTTAACTGCAAGGTTAGAAGTATTGACTAATAATCTAAACAATATTTGATTCATGAAACATTTTTTATTTAAGATCTGAGGACCAAACTGCTAAACTTAAGAAGTTGGATACATTTTCATTTCTTTTAAAAGTCAAACGTTTTCATTGGTGCTTGGGATGTACAGTTTTTACAGAGTTAACACTCAAAAAGGCTGGGGAATCTGAATCTATGGATAGCTTTTTAAAAATATAGTTTTTAGATCTATAGCTTAAATATCAAAAAAGTTATGGGATATTTTAGATTTTGTTAAAATACTGTTTGGCCCTTTTACCAACATGTACCCTATTCCATATGCATTTAAAAAAATGTAAAAAAAAATCCTAAAAATTACAAGTAGAAAAATTTCAAGGTGATAGTGTCAAAAATAAGAGTACTAGGGGGAAAAACTGGAGGCCAAACGCACCCTCACAACCCGGTTTAGGGTTCAGTTATTAATTTTTAAAGTTCACATAGTGGATATTGAAATGTGTCGTTGAAGCTAAGCGCGATCCCATTCAAAAGTTCTGCTTTCCTAGAATACGATTAGTATAATTCTCTCCAATCTAGTCATAACAATAGGTCATTTTTTAATTACTGGTACGACTCTGTAACCTCGTAGCTGCCTGTGAATAATAGTCTAAGTTTAAAATATCAAAGGTTTACACAATCAGGTTGCAAAACTATAGAAATTAGAAAATTTAGGTTTGCGGCAAAGACTCAACTTCTTTACTCTATTATGGCGGAAAGGAAATGAGTTTTTGCCACTAACTCTAATTTTCTAATTCCTATTCATTTGAAGCCTGATATCAATATATCTAAACTTAAACTATTTGATCTGAAAGTTTATTGTTAGAAATGTCAAAGGTCTACAACATGGGGTACTGGGGTAGCAAAGATGTAGGGATTAGAAAATTTAAGTTTGTGGCAAAAACTCAATTCCTTTATCCCGAATATAATGGTAAATATATTTACTGTTTAGTTGTTGAGGTCTTAATCTCCAGGATTTTATCAACGATATCCTAACAATATTCAAGATGTGTCACGGCAGGACGCAAACGAGATGGGGAGGAGGGGGTTGGGACGGCTTGTGTGAGATACAAGAGCCCCATAGGGGGTCTGTGTATTTTGAGAATATTCCCTACAGTTTCTCACCTGCAGGGGAGGGTTTGTTCTTTGATCTTGGTTCTCCTCAACACTTATCCTTCACAAGGATACTAGGACAGATATTCTCCGCTGCACTTGTCCAACACAAGGATAATAGGACAGATATTCTCAACACTTGTCCTACACAAGGATATTAGGACAGATATTCTCAACACTTGTCCAACACAAGGATAATAGGACAGATATTCTCAACACTTGTCCTACACAAGGATATTAGGACAGATATTTTCAACACTTGCCCAACACAAGGATATTAGGACAGATATTCTCAACACTTGTCCAACTTAAGAATATTTGGACAGATTTCTCAACACTTATCCAACACACGGATATTAGGACAGATATTCTCAACACTTGTCCAACTTAACAATATTTGGACAGATTTCTCAACACTTGTCCAACACGAGGATATTTGATCTCAACACTTGTCCTACACAAGGATATTAGGACAGATATTCTCAACACTTGCCCAACACAAGGATATTAGGACAGATATTCTCAACACTTGTCCAACAAAATGATATTAGGACAGATATTCTCAACAATTGTCCAACAAAAGGATATTAGGACAGATGTTCTTAACACTTGTCCAACACAAGGATACTAGGACAGATATTCTCAACTGCACTTGTCCAACACAAGGGTACTAGGACAGATATTCTCAACACTTGCCCAACTCAAGGATATTAGGACAGATATTCTCAACACTTGTCCAAAACAAGGATGTTAGGACAGATATTCTCAACACTTGTCCAAAACAAGGATATTAGGACAGATATTCTCAACACTTGTCCAACACAAGGATAATAGGAAAGATATTCTCAACACTTGTCCAACACAAGGATATTAGGACAGATATTCTCAAAACTTGTCCAAAACAAGGATATTCGGACAGATATTCTCAACACTTGTCCAACTCAAGGATATTAGGACAGATATTCTCAACACTTGTCCAACACAAGAATAATAGGAAAGATATTCTCAACACTTGTCCAACACAAGGATATTAGCACAGATATTCTCAACACTTGTCCAACTTAAGAATATTTGGACAGATTTCTCAACACTTATCCAACACACGGATATTAGGACAGATATTCTCAACACTTGTCCAACTTAACAATATTTGGACAGATTTCTCAACACTTGTCCAACACGAGGATATTTGAACAGATATTCTCAACACTTGTTCTACACTAGGATACTAGGACAGATATTCTCAACACTTGTCCTACACAAGGATAATAGGACAGATATTCTCAACACTTGTCCTACAAAAGGATATTAGGACAGATATTCTCAACACTTCCTTCCTTTCTTCATTCCTACGGTCCTCCCTCGATATTCAGTCTTCTTCCTTCTTCCCTCTTCATCCTTCCTCCCCCGTGGGTGCAGGATGAAGTAAAGGTTCAGGCTAGAGTGCAGGATGAAGTAAAGGTTCAGGCTAGGGTGTAGGATGAAGTAAAGGTTCAGGCTAGGGTGCAGGATGAAGTAAAGGTTCAGGCTAGGGTGCAGGATGAAGTAAAGGTTCAGGCTAGAGTGCAGGATGAAGTAAAGGTTCAGGCTAGGGTGTAGGATGAAGTAAAGGTTCAGGCTAGGATGTAGGATGAAGTAAAGGTTCTGGCTAGGGTGTAGGATGAAGTGTAGCATAGGTTTAGCAGGCTATGGTGCAGGATGAAGTAAAGGTTCAGGCTATGGTGTAGGATGAAGTAAAGGTTGATGCTTTGGTGAAGGATGAGGTTAAGGGTTTAATTTAAAGTTAAGTTTCAAGTTTACTCTAAATTTAAATAAGTACCTCAGGTTTGAATCAAGAATGATGGCTTTCTGTGTATCGTTCAAGTCTTTATTTGTCCTTTAATATTAAATCGTTTTTTTCCAGTTCTTCTCTTTTCAACATTATTCTTCATCCCCCACTCTCCAACCTTATTCTTCCAGTCATTCTCATTTCAACACTGTTCTTCATCCCCTTCTTTCTGCAAATCCCATTCATCATTTCTCTTAATTTTTCCTCTCTCTCCAACCATTTTCTTCATTCCGTTCTCTCTCCAACCCTATTCTTCATCTCCTTCTCTCTACAGCCCTATTCATCATTTCCTTCTCTCTACAACCCTATTCTTTATCCTCTTCTCTCTCCAACCTTATTCTTCATCTCCTTCTCTCTCCAACCCTATTCTTTATCTCCTTCTCTCTCCAACCCTATTCTTCATCTACTTCTCTCTCCAATCTTATTCTTCATCTCCTTCTCTCTCCAACCCTATTCTTCATCTCCTTCTCTCCAACCCTATTCTTTACCCTCTTCTCTCTCCAACCCTATTCTTCATCTCCTTCTCTCTCCAACCCTATTCTTCATCTCCTTCTCTCTCCAACCCTATTCTTTATTTTCTTCTCTCTTCAACCCTATTCTTAATATCTCCTTCTCTCTCCAACCCTATTCTTCATCTCCTTCTCTCTCCAACCCTATTCTTTCATCTCAACCCTTCCCCCTCCCTATCCTGCATCTTCGGCAGTATTTTCTCCTGGTATAAAAATTCCATATATCACGGTAACAAAGCAACAAACAGAAGCTTAACAATGTTTTGGAAGGATCAATGTCGGATCCAAACATTCGATAATAAAATCTAAATTTAGAATAAAAGCAGGGGCAAACTTTGAAATAAAAAACGGTTCTGATCAAAATATGCATGATCTTATATGAAGGCAAAATGTAAAAAATTAAGAAAATAAGTAAAATCTATTTATCCCTGAATCCTAATAACATCAACACATCAAAGTCTAGTGTTGAATCAGGATAAAATTTCCTGTATGTATGAAAGGGGGAATCGATAAAAACAACCTAAGTATATCCTATGTTCCCGGGTAGCGCTCAGTTGACCGACGGTCATACAACCGTTCAGATCTCTAGTGATGGCTCCAAAACCTAAACTTGTTGTTATCCATCCTGTACATGGATACAAGATCAAACCCCAGGAAGATCTCAAGACGATCAAGAGGAATGCCAGGGAGAGAAACCGTGTTCAAACTGTAAACAAGGGTTTTGAGACCCTTCGTCTTCTTGTTCCAACCGCTTCCTGTGACAAGAAGATGTCAAAAGTTAATATTCTTGGTCATGCAGTTGAATACATTCAATGTTTACACGCCATGGTTCAAGGTTCGAGTACTCCACAGAGTCCAGGAGTATCCAGTACCTCAGATTATCATTCATACTCCGATACCTCATTATATACTAACCAATCCTACTCACACTGTAGTTCATACTCACCCAAGACTTCTTACTCCTCAACCTACTCCCCTAGAACCCAATATACGCCCTCCATTTACTCCCCCCATCCTCCTTTCACACCTCACACTCCTTACTCCCCTCACACGCCCTACTCCCAGTCCCAGTTTAGTTTTCAGAATACTGAGTTCTATCCTATCCACCAGAGTACTCCAACTAGTAATACAGCTCTAGAAGAAGAAGAAGAGGAGGAGGAGGACGATCTATTGGATGCTATTGCTGAATGGCAGGAGCACTCAGTTTAATCTTGGTTATTCAACCCAACCTTGTCCCAGCTAGGCAGCTTAGAATTCATCTCAAAGTTATTTTTAACATGGAGCTTAGTTAAACTTGATAAAATAAAACCTAAACCTAAACAACTAAGCTTGTATCTCCTCCTTGTTTCTTAATCTCCCACAATACTATTTATCCATAAATCTCAAATAGTACAACTTTATCTCCATCTCCTCCATCAATACTATGTATCCATGAATCTCAAATAGTACAACTTTAGCTCCATCAATACTATGTATCCATAAATCTCGAATAGTACAACTTTATCGCCATCAATATTATGTATCCATAAATCTCAAATAGTGCAACTTTACCTCGCTTAACCAAACTGTATGTATTAAAAAGGCTGTGATTTTCTTTAGTGTATAAATAAATCTTATATTTAATTTTTTTTGTTTGTTTTTTGACGGAGTTGCAGATTAGAATTGCGATAGTTCTGAAACAGATTTTTTGGGTGTTTAAAAGAAGAAAGACTTTTTGCAGTTCTAAATTTTGGATAATAATAGTGGCAAAATAAATTTTTTTTTAAACTTTGAATATTACAAACTGCTATATATTTAGATCAAGAACGAGACCCAATTTACGAAAACTGTTTCATTAAGAAGTTATAAAAGTCTACTATATATATATATAGTACTGAAATTGAACAAGGTCGCCCCAAGGCGAGATGCATCTTCAATTTGAATTATATATTGTGTTGGTAAATAATTAAACACTCTTTAAACTTACGGCCGGAGTTTTTTTTATTTTGCGTTAAAAAAGCATATGCTGACAAGAAAAATACGTTTTAAAGGTCAAAATGTGTTCGAAAGTCATAGTTCTCTGGGATAAAACCAAACCGTAAAATCCGCATGAGTTAGTAACAAATATCTTACGTGCATTTATTACTGAAATTTAAAACAAATCCAATATTGGAAACAGTCTAGAGTGTTAGAGGACTGATAAATTATTTTGTTAGTCTTTGATATTTAAACAAAAGTGTGCCACGTAACAAAGGAATGAATAGAAATTCTCTGGGTGGACTGGAAACTTTTGAGTAAACACTTTGTCCTTACAGTTAGAATAAATAATCGTTTATTAGTCAAATCAAAAACTCTGGCCAATAAAAGATCAGTTAATTCCCCCCGTCGTGATGGGCTCAGTGGGGCGAGCTCGGCGGCTAGTGGAGGCTAAGACTGAGGAGAACCCAAAGAATAAATGCGCGAGAAAAAATATCTTCGGGTCATTCCGTTTTTTACTCGGCAAAAATTTCCAAAAAGTCAATATTTGAAGAAAAATTGCTATGTTTAAAAAAGGCTTTAGAGAGCTATAGACCTTTTATTGGGTCACGTGAGTTGCCAAAAAAGTTTCTTCGTTTATTAGCTACATACAGACAGATGTGCTAAGTATCTATAACATAAAGAGAAAAAAATCCGATTTTTGTGCTGTTTTATCTTTTTCCGGCCTACGTCTTGGTGCACATGTCTCAATTTATACATACTCTATATGTGTATGTAATTAACTGTATAATTAACTTTTAGAATCCTGGACGGAAATATGAATTTTTGAAACACTTAAAAACGAAAATCTCAGATAGAATTAGGTAGATAAATAAAAAAGGTGAAAATATTCATTATTAAAGAAACGGATTTCTCGCGCCTCAAAATCTAATTTTCCATTCCCCTCACGAAGTTCTTGAAAGTGTGGCAAGAAGTGTTCTGAATTTATGTAAATTATGATTGTTACTCCTTTTTGTTTTCAGATTTTTGCAGCCGCGAGTTTTCTAACAATAGGTTAAAGAATGTGAACTAGCGGAAATAACGCCCTTAATATAGGCGGAGAACTAAATATTTTAACTGTTTGTAAACACACAAATTACAAAACATGGATTATAAAATACGAGGCCCAACCCTTTCTTAAACTTTCTCCAATGCGATTCATCAAAATTACTTCATACTGTTTATTTCAAGTTGGGCGGTAGAAATATAACGATTGTATCATGACACCATAGCGTTTAAAAAATAACCGACCAAAACATTAACCAATAAAAGTTAAGACCATTTTAAAATGTTTTGAACTGGTGGAGACCGACATTTTCTATTTAGTTTTACTGTTTTTTGCAAGTTCTTGTATTGTGTCTTCGCTCAGACTTAATAATTTAAGTTTAAAATATCAAAGGTTTAAACAATCCGGTTGAAAAAATATATGGATTAAAAATTTTGAGTTTGTGACAAAGACCAATTCCTGTACAATATCTTTTAATAGTTAATTTCATTTTTTATTTGTTTGGTTTAAGGTTTTTGTAGTTTCTACAAAAAGTAAGTTTGTTATCCCCAATTCCGTGTAAATATAGTATTTTTGAACTTTTTCATGAAAATACAAATTCAATTTCCTGTTTAATTCTGAACAAATAAAATTTTACTTTTAAATTTCTTCAGAAAAAAAAACCAAAAAGGCCATTTTCTCTTAATTTATAATTGTATAATAATTTTGATAACTCGATGTACCTCGGACATCATTTATTTATTTCCTGTTTCATTATATATATATATATACCTTTTTTGCGCCTCAAAATCCATAAGAACAAAAACTATTAAAGTGGTTTAATCTTAATGAGCTAGATTTTTAAAACGTGCTGCTGTAGAAACTGAAGCGTGAAGCATATGCTTGTTATTTGGAGTAATTTGAAAACATAAATAACATTTATTGTTTTATTTTAGCAATAAACGTTATCTTATCTTATCTTATCTTATATGGTTGGATGTATCTATTTATCGAGATCGAGATAAATATTACAATGGAATTGCATTTTTAAAGTTTGTGGATTTTTGGATTGTGATTTTGAACTTCAAACCGCTGCTGAAGCACTACTGGAAACCTTTGATATTTCAAAGTTAGATTATTTAATACAACAGAATCTACATAATGGAAATATTAATAGTTTGTGGTAAGAACTAATTTTCTTTATCATGGACACACTTACAAATAATAAAATCGAACTTATCCGTTTGATCTGCATTCTAACCAGGTAACCCGGAACTGTTCTGTTTACAAAATGCATGAAATAGATACAAATTATATATTGATTCGAAAATCAAAGTTGACAGATTTTGTATAAGACGTGAATCATGCAGTTTTTAAATTTAGTTAGTTTTCTTTCTGCGATAATTCTGGCTCACGTATATTTTTCTTCTAGAAAGAAGATTACTGAATATTTTAATAATTGGCCGGGTTTCTGAAGAAATATTTTCCTTATTATTATTTTTACATTTTAACAAACAGTACAAAGGGTTTCGCTTCCATTTTTGTAGAAAAAAAACATGTTGAAAGTAAAACAGTTTTTCTCTCCCTTCCACATATTACTCTGCTCCACGACCTTTTCTGCTCTGTAGCAATCCTGTCTTTTCCAGGAATCTATTCTATTCAGGAACTGCTCTGATCTGCAGCATCCCGTCTTTTCCAGAAATCTAGACTATCCAGGAATTGCTCTGCTCTGCAGCATCCCATTTTTTCCAGAAATCTAGACTATCCAGGAACTGCTCTTCAATGCTACCATAAACTTATTTAAGTTGGGTTAATCTTTATTGCTGTTTCTTCCCTTCCCTCTATTTCCAATTTCGCCCTTCGTCAATTTCTTCCCCCCACCCATTAATTTTTATTTACTCACTAAATCTTCAAATCAAAATTAAAACCATTTTACCACAAATATTGAAATTAAGTTGTCTAAGGATGTTTATTTCTTTTCCCACACAGACCGCAGATAGGTACATTGTCCTTCATTTTAGCGTTTTTAAATTTGATTGATCTCTTGATACAGGGTCATGTTTAAAGGATGAGACTTCAAAGACGACTGTACGTTATTCAAGGTTTCTAGCTCTGTAAACTTGTTTTTTTTTATGTCAAACCTTATTTTTATATAAACAATTTAAAACCCAAATTCAAACTTCAGGTTGTCATTCAAGTCTTATTCTTTGTGAGTAACCCTGTATGTCAAGATAATATTTTAAACCTGTTAATAAGTTAACAACATTAACGACATTTAACTGCTGCCCCTCTTCCTGCAGACAGATTTGCGTTTTCGAAGTTTTTCTTCCCTTCTCCCGTATTGTCCATAATGGAGGATAAATTTCCAAAATCGGGTTTTTAAAAATTATTTAATAAAGATAATAAAATTGTTTTTAAGGTTTGCTACTTTTTAAAATCTATAATTTGTTCTTTTAACTCTTGTCAACTTAAATCAACGGAAGACAATTAAATCGGTTTAATAGAGCAGAACTTATTCTCTCATTTTTCAGTGGGCAGATGAGATGAGATCAACTCTTATGAACGGAATAAAATTAATTCCCTGAATTTAAAAGTTGTCAAGTGGATTCTTTGTTTGTAGAAAGGGCGTACACGAGGGGAGGGGGCTTAGTGGGGGCAAACTGAGCCCCATCCCAAAAAATCTTATATTCGCCTAGCTTTTTAAGACTGAAATATACCCTAAATGTTGTGCTTTATGCAATTTCTACTTTTACTCTTCAAAAAAACACGAATACGGCATTTTGAGATATACAGGGTTACCCAGAAAGAATGAAACTGTAAAGACGACCGGAAACTGATTAAAAGGATGATCCCAAGGTTAAGATAAGTCTTCTGCTTTGAAAATAGTCATCTAATGTCTTATTTAATGAAACAAGTTTACCGCTGAAGAGAAGCGTGAAAATGAAACGGACAGTATAAAATACCTACAGTCGTCTATGAAGTCTTATTCTTTTTGGGTAAAGAAGAAACTGAGTATCGTTAAATGAATTACTAGTTTCCTTCATGTGGTCAGACATTTGTGAAGATATTAATTGAAGAATTAGAAATTGGTAAAACTAATCTTATGAAATAATAATTCAAATCACAATATTAATCTCTACAAAATTGTCTTAATCCATTTAAAAACCCGATATCGGGTTTCATGACGATATTCTGTCTTAAATTTCGGGTTGGGTAACCCTGTAGGTTCTTAAATTACATTGTTTGAACTCAAACATGTTTGCAAACATAGACAAACTGTGACGGCACCAGCTTAAAATTGACTAGACTAAGACATACTTCCAGACAAAATTAAAATGTTTAAACAGCTAAATAAACTCTGTATGGTTGCTAATATTACAGATTCAAACAATATAATAGTAGATTCAAATCTAATCTACATATAAAAAAGACATTCAAATATGTATATTTATATATATGGTATAGCCGGCTGGACCGATTGAGTGAATTTTTTTGTGGACATTCGTGGGTGGCCGTGTTATAGGCTAAAAAAAATCGAATTTTTTTTTCAAAATTAATTTTTCAAATTTTTTTCACGGGCAACGCCGGGCCCTTCAGCTAGTTATAAATAATTTTACAGGGCGCAAATTCTTTCTGGTAATAATCTTATCCTTTTTGTCGCCAATCTTTTTGCAATCCTTTCGCACATTTTAGAGTAATAGCATTTAAGAATTTCACACATCTTCCACTAAATGACGGTTTTCTAAAGTTTAATGAGAAAATCGATCTGGACCAAATCTTTGAATCCTGTCCGCACCACACCTTTTATTTAACAAACAAGATTGACGTGATAGGCACAAATTAACAAATTAACAAATTAACAAATTAACACCCAAACATACAAAAACAAGCTAAATATATAGAAGAATGCAAATCTTTATTAGGATTTTAAAAAAGACAACATTTTTAGTTTTCATACCCCAGGACCAAAAATAGGAGTTAAATATTTTTTGTTATGTTTCCATATATGTACATAACACATGGTTTAAAATTAGAATGTTTATAATAAACTATTGATATAAAATCAAAATTATAGTAAACACAAATATATTGGGAAGTTCTGGAGAATATTAACTTCTATAGTAAACACAAATATATCTAAAATTCGGTGATGGTGATGGACCAAACCTCTGTAGAGTAAAAAAGTAGATGTTAGTTCCGCATTTATTGAAAATATATTTCGGTCTGGGTTCACCCTCGTCAGTTCTTGAGATTGTTTCTTCACAAAGATTAAATGGGAAGTTCTAGAGAATATTAACTTCTATAGTAAACACAAATGTATTGGTAAGTTCTGGAGAATATTAACTTCTATAGTAAACACAAATATATTGGTAAGTTCTAGAGGACATTAACTTCTATAGTAAACACAAATATATTGGAAAGTTCTGGAGAATATTAACTTCTATAGGAAACACAAACATATATTGCGAAGTTCTGGAGAATATTAACTCCTGTAGTAAAAACAAATATATTGAGAAGGTCTAGAGAATATTAACTTCTATAGTAAACACAAATATATTGGTAAGTTCTGGAGAATATTAACTTCTATAGTAAACACAAATATATTGGTAAGTTCTAGAGGATATTAACTTCTATAGTAAACACAAATATATTGGGAAGTTCTGGAGAATATTAACTTTTATAGTAAACACCAATATATTGGGAAGTTCTGGAGAATATTAACTTCTATAGTAAACACAAATATATTGGGAAGTTCTGGAGAATATTAACTTCTATAGTAAACACAAATATATTGGTAAGTACTGGAAAATATGTACTTATATAGTAAACACAAATATTGGTAAGTTCTGGAGGATATTAACTTCTGAAGGAAACACCTATATATATTGGGAAGTTCTGGAGAAGAGATCTATCAATTTCAATACTAACTTTTTTAAATATATACATTGGAAAGTACTGAGGAATATTAACTCCTACAGTAAACACCAATATATTGGGAAGTTCTGGAGAACATTAACTTCTTTAGTAAACACAAATATATTGGGAAGTTTTGGAGAATATTTATTTCTTTAGTAAACACAAACATATTGGGAAGTTCTGGAGAATATTAACTTCTGTTACACAAATATATATTGGGAAGTACTAGAGAAGAGAGCTATAGATTATAATACTAACTTCTATAGTAAACACAAACATATATTGGGAAGTACTAGAGAAGAGATCTATTAATTTCAATATTAGCTTTTATACTAAAAAAAATAAAATAAACAAAATTATTATTTTGATCCAAAAATACCTTTTTTTACAACCTTACATTTTGTTTATAAAGAAGACACTTCAAAAAATGCTTCGGCGCAGAACTTAATCTGGTAAATTTGGGCGGCTTAAGTCTTCCTCCCAATGTACATCCTTGAAATCATCTCTGGATTGTTCCGCAGATTGACCCATCCAACATCTCAGACGAAACCCTTCAGCTTAAAATTTCAACTTAAAATTTCCCTTTCATATTTAACATTATAACTTTGTTTTACAGGATCTTATATTTGATTTCGGTTTCAACAGTAACTCTGACATTAAATGACATAAAATGGCCATCCTAAAGTTTGTTGAGAAAACATTAACGAAAACAAATTAACAATTTGATTCTGTTCAACATTGGCTTTCCTTGTTCATGTTGCTTTTTCACAAAACTTCAAAGTAGTACAGATTATAAATAATTTTAAATCACTAAAAAAATATTAGAAACTTTATAAAAAGTTGAATAATACGAAAAACTGTAATCTTTTGTAAAACTTTGAGAGGGCGGACAGACCTCTTTTATGAGTATGGTGTAAAGTGTAAAGGAGCACCGGCTTCAATACCTCTATCTATCAGTTGATAAATTTCCAACTGAGAAAAATGCATTGGTCCGGTGCTCCATGAACACCGGAAACTAAATGGATAATGCACATGTTACGAACATAATAATGCGTTTATTAAAAATATAATATTTACATATATTCAAGTAGATACATCATACAAAGAAATTGCGTTCTATAACAAAACACGTGTTCGGACGGAGTAATATTTTGAGTTTGAGTTTCGTTTCTTGACACGTGACGTGTATAATGGAATGTTTGTACATGATATGCTTTGTAAAATATCTTTCACTGGCAATTCTTGTCCAACTGGCAGAACCAGAGGATATTTGTAAAAAACTATAAAATTATTTAAATGAACCACTCCTTCTTCTTGTGAACCTGGTGACCTGTTTTCCCTTGAAGAACAGCAGTGTCAGCATCAAATGCATCATGAGCTCCATCATCTTCTTGAGTATAATAATCTCCTTTATGTCGGTTGATGTACTTCCCGGTCGCCATGCACACGAACAAGATGAGGGCGAAGAGGATGGAGAGGACGACACCGAGGATAATTGAGCTGGTGTTACTGTAAAAATGTTTAATAGCCTCCTGATCAACATCTGGAGGTCGTCTTGTCTCCTCCTCCTCTGGTCTCAATGTTGCAGGCTCAATGCCACAGAAATCATCTGTAATGGTTTCAGGAAGAGAGTTTATATTATCATGAGCATCTTCCTGGAAGTAGAGTTTAAGAGGGATAATCTCATCAAACTCAACCCTGGAGATACATCCGACAAAACCTTCCGTCATACTCTCGTTCTTCCCGATATACAGATACTGGATATTGTCAAACTGCGCGTCTGCAGAGGCTTTCAGGGAGGTGGAGAAATCATATTCTTGCGGAGCATAGTTGTCAATCGTCATTCTTAGGTTTCTACCCTCGTTATATCGTTCTATAAGAACATCATGATACTGTCCAGTCATAAAGTTCTGTTCCGTAAAAACCATTTCCTGTCTTTCGAACCCAAAATCAAAAACAAGCCTAATATGCCCAGAGTTTGAGACCATGAGGGTAAGATACTCTTTACTAATATGAGACTCCAGTCCGACCAGGAAACCCTTGGGATCTGTAGTAGTGAACCCAACATGGATTCTTTCACCAATTGTTGATTTATATTTTCCTTTGAAGTCGTATTTGATCATGTAGTTGGTTCTCATATTAACTCCAATCTCGTCAGCACAGATAGGACCCTTGAAGGGTGTCCACCTACAGTTACACTTGAATGAATCATATCCTTCCACACATTCTCCTCCGTTCTTACAAGGATTAATGTGACACTTCCCAGTACATCCGAGATGAACCCCGTAGAGCCCCCAGGGGTTCTTAGTAACCTCTCTCACTAGGTCCACTGGGACTCCGTTGAGAACTAGAGCACGCATACATCCTACAAATCCATCAGTCCACTCCTTGGTAGCTCCAACATACAGACTACTGGTTAGTTTGAAGGGACGAACAGGACCAACGGGTTCGGGAAGATGAGTTTTCTGAGCACCGTCAATCACAACCATGGCCTCTTTCCTGTTCTTCTCAATGAGGACCGAGTGCCAGGTGTTATCGTCGAGCCTGTAGGACGTTTCCACGGTTACTCCCTGAACTCCTTTACCAGCGGAGAACTCAAACTGAATTGAATCTCCGGAGATTAAACTCACTTTAATAAAATCTCCATAATCTCCGATAGAGTGAAGGAGGACCATGGGACGCTCCAGACTGGTTTTAAACTCGAAGAAAATATCACCACTCGTGATTCCCATTTCGAAGGTTGGCAGCTCGATCACAGCGTCGATCTTGCGGAAAGTAATCGAGTTTTCGAAGAGCACATCTCCGTTGCATTCGAGGGGTCCGAGGTTGTATCTTCCTTCCTTCCTGTCTACCGGAGTACCGGTGTCTCCGAAGTACAAGGATTTTACCGGAAGATACTCTTTCTCCTAGAACAGAAGAGAAAGTTAATTGATTAACAGTGATTTTTTCCCCTTCAAAATATATTACTTTTGACCGCGAGATAATGATATTTAAAACATTTATGTCAACACATTTTGTCAAATTTCAAAACTAAAACTTAATACAAGTATTACATATGCCCTGATCCATCCTGTTTAATGGTTAAATATTTGTGAAAAATAAATAATTCCTGGTTAAGCTTGACAAGCATAAGGTTCTGGTTTGCATTTAACCTTATCTCATGAAATTTTGATAAATTGTTCACTGTGGTTAGATTAGAAACTATATAGAGAAATGATGAGAGTACAGTAAACTGCATTAAAGAGACTGCACATAATTTCATGTAACTCTCCATTTATAAAGTGTCACGTCCTATTCACAAAAGTACCCTTAAAACTTTTGTCAAATCAAAAATGCATGGGATATCCATCAATTTTAATTGTGGTTTCTTTATAGGGCGAGTTGAGGATTTCTGCGACAGAAACAAAGGAGGCAATTGTCAATAATAATAACAAGCTGAAGGGCCAGGCGATGCCCGTAGAATTTAAAAAATTAGGAATTTTGAAATAAATTTTATTTTTTAGCCTATGGGAAATGATGGATTCCCTCAAAAAAGTCACCCGATTTGGTTCAGCCGTTTAGCCGGCTATAATTAACATGTGTTATAGATATATATATGAGCGAAGAGATTTATAATGTTGATCATAATTATAATAATACCTTGAGTTCTCCGCCATCGTATAACCAATCGTCGTGCCCACTGTCACAGTTGCACCACATGTCGGGGTCAAAACAATCTCCGTATAGACCACATTCACATTTCCTATAATAGTGTAAAGAAATCAGTCTTTGCAACAAACTCTGATTTTCTAGCAATCCCTTTAACTTCTCGACCCGATATCGTAGAACTTAGATATGTCGGAATATAAATTGCAAAGATATATAAGGATTAAAATTTGAGTTTCTAATCCCTATATCTTTGCAACCTGGCGATGTAACCCTCTGGTATTTCAAATTTAGATTATTTTATCCAATAAAATTTGTAGTTTGAAAAATCTAAGATCTTTGAGATATATGATTCCAAAGATATAGGGATTAGAAAATCAAAGTTTGTGGCAAACTGGATTTCTTATAACATACAGTGCATAATTGCTATATTTCAAATGTTTTAATGGATATCCACAAATAGCGAGTGAATAATTTCCCATGAACGAGAGAGATGAAGTTCAACTGAGTTGGAAATTTATGAATGTGGTTCAATCTAAACCGGGGAACAACTTCGTGTAAAAGCTCAAACGTTTGGTGGAATTTGATGAATTTTTAAATTAGTTAAACCCGGTTTGAATTGAATCAGAATAAATATTGATCAACTATTATAGGTTTCATGGATTTCAGATAAAAAAAATGCTCACCTTGATCCAGGTAAAGATCCAGCCCAATAATCCATTTTCATGTTTTGTCTTGACACCCACCAACCAAACGGTTCAAAAGTCTAAAATCAAGTCTAAAATGATATCTAATTATTTTTTGCTCACTTTTTCAATGCTTTGGCGCTTAACAGTTGCTTGATGCTTTCTATAATTCAAATAGTGGTAATTTCCTAGAGAACGATTTTTGGACCCCCCCCCCCCCCCCCCCCCCTCCTCCCCCCTATCAATAAAATAGATCAGCACCAGACCCCTGGGATGCCCTAGCCGCGGCGCTCGTCCCCCTAGCCTGTCCTAGCCGCAGGGGGTGGCCCCCTAGCCTGTCCTAGCCGCAGCGCTCGGCCCAGAAAGTGTCTTAACTTAACCTAACCCTAAATAATTACTAATTTAATTGAAAATCCTTGAAAAAGTGGTCATGTACAAAAAGGAGGGGGGGGGGGGGTCCAAATATCGTTATCTAGGACGGACCCTAAATAGTCTATTCCCTACTTGTAGTTGAGAAAAAGATTAGTTTTGGTTTTTCCCAAGTCTCGACTAAATTCAATTAATTAAGTTTTCATAATTTTCACATAAACTAGAGGAACAATTACATGCAAAATTCGAATAGTAAATATTTTTGTTTGGAAGTGTCAAAATAGGGCTTAAACTTAAAGTTTACTCAGCATAACCCCATGTCGTAATGTTTGTATGAAATAAAATGAAAGTTTGATTTGGATAAACATCTCTAGAGTTTATTTTTTATTAAACCCTATTCCGAGTTAAGACCACATGATATTCTTTGGACGACTAAAGATACGGAATAAATGCATGATCGCGGGATTATCAATACAAAAGTTTATTCAGACCGGTTGTAGCCGCGTGATATAAAATGTTTACCTGACTTTCAGAAACTGGGGTATTGAGAAGCCGAGATCGTTTACAGTCGTATCCTAGTTTCTGAATACAGGAGGAGGATCGGTTTATCAAGGTTTCAATCATATCATTCGGAGCATGATACTGGATTGGTTCGTAGTATGATCCTTTATCTTCGAACCCGTCAACCTGAAGCAGAGATTAATATCTTTATTAGCTCATTTAGAAATGATCTTGAGTTTTCAGTTTGTGAGATCGATTTCAACTATTCTTATTTCTTCACCCAAAATAACATAAAATTCGATATCAGAAGATGTTTCAGAAAAGAAATGTTGCTTAGAACTTAAAATTGAGCAGACGAAATGCGGGGTTTGTTAAATAATTCACTAAAGCAGCCATTTTTTTCTACGATATTTTTAATCTACAAATTTCTTTAGTATTGTGTAATGCAAGACCAATCCCCTTATTTTGCACACCCTGTATAATTATTGAAAAGATTGTGGGGCATGGCACAAAGGCCCCGTATCAGAATAATGATAAAAATAATAATAATAACCTTTGTCGACTCCATCTGTTCGTGAGCGATGTATGTCAGGTTTCTACCATCAGGGAGGAACTCACAGGTTACAGGGACAGGAGGGATAGGACCACTTCCATCTAGACAATTCATATATATTTATATGCTTCGCGCCACTTTATCTAGGTTTCAAGGTTCATACAGGGGCAGGAGGGATAGGACCACTTCCATCTAGACAATTCATATATATTTATATGCTTCGCGCCACTTTATCTAGGTTTCAAGGGATATAGGGGCAGGGGGATAGAACCACTTCCATCTAGACAATTCATATATATTTATATGCTTCGCGCCACTTTATCTAGTTTTTAAGGTTCATATAGGGGCAGGGGGATAGGACCACTTCCATCTAGACAATTCATATATATTTATATACTTCGCGCCACTTTATCTAGTTTTTAAGGGTCATATAGGAGCAGGGGGATAGGACCACTTCCATTCACTCTTGAAGAAAAATGAGAAAATATAACTATTTTCAACAGATCTCTNAGCCCCGGTCAATTCCCCTGAGCGTTATTTCATTAATAACTGAACTTGACATAATTAAGAAATGGCAACATATCTGGGTAACATATTTATTTAGCTGAAAACTCACGGAACTAAAATTATCTAACCGTCAGAGATGACTTGTTTTAACCTTTATTATAAACTTCCGTGTTTAATGCGCTAATTTCAAGCGTAAAATGCGTAAACGCGTGAAATGTATGGATGCGTGAATATGTTTTAAATTCAACGAAACGCAATCTAATTTAACAAACACCGACCTAACCCAAATTTTGGAAATAACCTTGCTATTTTATTGTTACGTAAAAACTAAATGATCTCAGAGGCCGGAACTTCAGTGTGGAAGTATCGTTAATCTTAAAAGCTTTATCTTGATATCCAATAACGACCTCTTCAAATTTGAGGATAAATACTTAATCATTAAATTAAAGTTATTCATGCGTGGTATGACCACCAAGGGATATCATTCAGGCATCAAACCGATCCGTATGTCTGCATTGAATATGGATCAATGCTTTATATTGAGAATGAGATTCACAAAACTTAAGTTCTGACTTAAGAGATCGGATCTTTTCTGTACATATATTAAACTCATTTGATCTCGATATTCAATGTGGGCACCTTTAAGTTTGAGGATCAATGCTTGATCCCTCAAATAAAGTTATCCCGACAGGGAATGACCATCAACGAGATATCAAAGAGGAATCAAATCAATCCGTAGATATGAATGAAACTGAGATCAATTCTTGATCACTAGATTCACAACACAAAAGTTCTGACTTCAGAGATCGGGTCCGGGATCTTTTTTTGTAGATATTGAGAATCTTAAACACTTTTAATCTCGATATTCAATGTGGCACCTCTAAATTTGAGGATCAATTGAAAATCAAAACTTATCCTTAGTTTTCCTTGCTTCGCGAACAATACTTTTAACATTTGTTATTTCAAATAATTTTTCTCAACATTTTTTTAATTGCAAAAATAAATATTTTGCAACAAAATCCCAAACACAGAAAAATTTATAATTATAAATCTTGTTGATGATTTTCAAAGATTCATTTCTATTCCTAAAAAAAATGTTTGTTTTTTTATTTCGGCGGTTGGTTTCTTAAATAAAATACCAAATTATACATTTATTTCAAGTCCCCCTTCACATCTTAACCAACTACCATGTACCAATTTATTGCGGATCAATTTATTCTGTAAAGGAGCTGTTTTGTTAGAACTAACTCTTAAAAACTTAAAAATAAATGGCATTATCTTTTTTGACCAAATTTTGAATCAATCTTCTGCAAAAGGATAACTCATTCAATGATAATTTAATCTAAATAGGTATCAAACCTGGATTATCAGGATTTAATGAAAAAATTTCATTACCGTAAAAAAAAGTTGGGACTTCAGCCTGTTTTACCTTTTTGGTTATTCCCCCTCCCCCCCCCCCCCTAAATATCAGTTCTTTATACTGAGAGATAAAATTCAACAATAAATATTAAAAACTTTTTAAACTTTTAAAGCAAAAAGTAAGCTTCATTCAAAAAAATATCTTTTGAAAGGGGGGGATTTTGGATAAACTATATACCCTTTATGATGTAATGGCGCAATTATGGGTTTCTTTTCAGAATATGAATAAAATGTTATTCCAATTTACATACAAAAATACATCCAGAAACCAACCAAAGATTCCTGTAACAGAAAAGATCCAGCATAAAAAAATCTAGCCGAACATTAGAGCTAGAAGAGCTGCTGTTTGTTACCTATATCTAGTATATCTAGTAGAGTTGCTGTTTGTTACCTATATCTATGATAGTTTCTGTATATTTACTCTATATCTAGTGTATCTAGTAGAGCTGCTGTTTGTTACCTATATCTATGATAGTTTCTGTATATCTACTCTATATCTAATAGAGCTACTGTTTGTTACTCTATATCTATGATAGTTTCTGTATATTTACTCTATATCTAGTGTATCTAGTAGAGCTGCTGTTTGTTACCTATATCTATGATAGTTTCTGTATATCTACTCTATATCTAATAGAGCTACTGTTTGTTACTTATATCTATGATAGTTTCTGTATATCTACTCTATATCTAGTATATCTAGTAGAGCTGCTGCTTGTTACCTATATCTATGATAGTTTCTGTGTATCTACTCTCTGGGTGGGCGTTCTGGAACTGTATACAGGACATCCAGTTAAGGGAGGTGTGGCACACAGCACCTACACATCAAAATTAGATATATTCTCAAATGGTATAATGAATGAAATGTTTTTGTTAAGATTTGAATCAGTTTATCCATTCACCTCCCTACTTGAACCTCGAAAATATTTCCATTATTATGTGGATCCCATTTTATCATAGGCTCCTGAGTTGGCTAACCTGCATATCCAGTGTGCTCGCACTCGCAGTAGAAATCATCCGAGTTCTGTTTGCAGATCCCACCGTGCTCGCAGGGGTTCGGATTACACCTAGGCACAGCAACAATATAAATAGAACATCTTTATTTATTAAAACCATTTTATCCAAAATTGTTTAATTTTTACTGAGTGATATTTCTTAAAACTCTAGAACAAAATGCAAAAACAATAAAATTCTACTTTTCAAATATTTAAAAAAAAAATACGATCTCTATTTATTATTCTTCAATCCGCTTTAAGCATTATTGGTAGAAGTTTAAAATATATTCAATCAAATAATTGGTTAAAAAATCATATCAAAAAAACTTCTTAACCCTAACCTATGCATGGCATTCATGTATCTGACAACTGTCTTTAAAAATGTGTCTATTGATCAAACCCTTTTCATATATCTAACAACGGTCTATAAGATTGTCTAATGTCTACTGAACTAACCTATCATGTATCTGACAATGGTCTATAAGATTGTCTAATGTCTACTGAACTAACCTATCATGTATCTGACAACTGTCTATACAAATGTCTAATGAACGGACTTAAAATGTATCTGAAAACTATCCATAAGAATGTCTAATGAACTGACCTATCATGCATCTGACAACTGTCTATAAAAATGTCTAATGAACTGACCTATCATGCATCTGACAACTGTCTATAANTTGAGGTTAAAATGGGAATTGAATAAATAAGACATTTGACCTACCTATCATATAGTAAGCTCCCGTCCTGACCTCCATTAGCCTAGTGGTCACCATCGTAGTTTTATCCACAGAAATAATCGCTTGATTTTTCCCCATAGAGAGGTCAATCTGATGCCAGATACCGTCATTGAAGGTCTGGTCGAAGTTGTCGATAACAACCTCCGGCATGTTCTTCGAGACGATCTGAACCTTGATCCTCGCGTGCTCCATGAATAGCTTTATGTAACCCTCGGAGCTGAACCTGTGATAGACCAGCATACCGGACTGCTCGAAGGTTCTGAACTCGAGTGAGATGTTGAAATTGTAAGCTCCTTCGAATCCAATCTAGCAAATCAAAAATCAGTTAAAAAATAGGTAATTTTTCTAAAAATTGAGCAATTTAATATGATTAAAGATCCAACCTGCTTGACGAATGAGTCCGCAGATTTAAATGTGACTGGGATGGTTAAATAATCTCTCTGACACACCCTGTTCACGTTTCCAATATTCTCGTACTTAACATAATTGTTCTTGTCGTAGTTGCCAAGCTTATCCTGGAAGGATGCAATCACGTTTGTGTGGTTGAGGTACAAGTTCTCGATGCAACCGGTGAAATTGTCGTAGACTACCAGACCTCGCTGGACGAACGGTACACCGCCGATATAAAGGTTTCCGTCCAGGTCTAACTTGTTAAACTCACCATTAATCCTATCTCTGATCTGAACCCTGTCTACGGAAAGGATTATATCCCTTCTCTCCCTGGAGATGTAGATCTCGTGGTACACGTTATCATCCAGGAGGGAGCCGAGGGTGAGGGAGGTTTCTGTTCCCTCCATGGTACTCCCCCGGGTAGCTCCGAGGTTAATATTGAGCAGAAGTCTGTTCTCCACCAGCTGCAGGGCTAGGTAGTCTTCCTGAGTACCCCTGGAGTACAACAAGACTCCGTTCTCCTTGTTTGTTTTAAACCTAAACCTGATGAGATCTCTCCTGGAGGATATGGGATCATTTTTCAGTTCTCTCCTCAACATGGAAGCACCATCGAAAAACAGAACATCAGAGCTGTAATCACAACCATAGAGCTCAACTCTCATGGCAATTTTATCTGCCCACCTAGTAGGGTTAATTTTTATCCACTGTGCAATTATAGGTTGTTCAAACACATTCCTTTTCTCAGCAAAACCGTCGATATTTCCGTCGAAAAGTTTGGCCGATCCGTCCACCTCCTTATAGTCCGTAAAATCTCGTCCGTTTGTTCCGTACTGAATTCTGAACTCCTCAACATAATCGTCCGTGTGAGATCGTCCCTGTGTGACTATTGTTGTAATGTTCATGACCTTGCCAAGGTCGAACATGATGTACTGACTGAAGTCGGACTCCTTGGCGCTCCAGGCGCTCCCGGAGTGAAGCCAAGCATCCTTAGCTGTTCTGCCATTCCACTCCGAGCTAGCTGTAACATTCGACCTTAAACAAAATCATTTAATCAATATCATTAATTTTATAACAAAATCTAATTGTATTTGATTTAAAATTCAGCTATTTATCTAAACCTATTTAATATAAGTGACAAGCAAAGTTATAAAAAAGTTTGTCAAACTATAAAATTGTTTGAAACAATTTTAGCAAATAATGAATTTAAGAAACAAAACGTGCGAGTATGATTATTTGAACAATTAATAATTAACATAAAAACGTCCCTCCTTCAGAAAAAATGGGTACAATTGTTTCCCCCTCTAGATATATTCCTTACTCGTTTATCTGTTGCTGAAGGACAGTTTAAATAAGATAAAATGCAATTTTAACATCAGGGGAATTTGTCCAGGGGGAAGGGGCAACCTTTTTTAAATGATTAGCCCCCCCAAGTTATGTGAACCCCCAAATCCCCATATCCTTTTCCACCGGTTACCTGTCATACAAAGGCTGTCTACACAGATTGTAAGGACTGTCTAACCAATATCTCTCTGCGTTAGACTGGGCGTATGCACTCGTAAATAAAGCAAAAAGTAAACAAATAAACATTTTCTTTATATTATCTCGTCACAGCCTGGAGCAAAACATTTTCTGAAACAAATATTTATATAAGGACAAACATGTATTATGTATAAAATGTATAATGACTCGGACACTTACTCGACAACCCTCAAATTTTGTAATCCTTTTCATCTTTTCCGACTTGAAGATATAATAAATTTGTAATAAATGTATAAATAGCTCGTGATTTTTCAAACTTTGACGTTAGATATCAAACGAAAAATAGGTCTACACGTCAGATTTCAGAGATAGGACTGGAGTATTAGAAATTAATTTTTCAAAGCAAATGTTCAGTTTCTTTCCAGTCCACAAGTCTAATAATTGATAATTGATCATGACACTCATCTATTTTTACATTGATGAAAGGTTTTAATCGTTGAAATTTGAAAATGGTTATATCACTGTATTGAAAGATAGATAGATATTTAGGCAGGTATACTTCAAGCTACCTGATATACCTGTAATATCCAGGCTCTGTTTCCAGGTATATTTACACAGGCAACACAACCAGGGCCACAGCCCACATCCTGCCGGCCTGGTCCGCCCAAATACTCATTGTCCCAGCCCGTCCTATACCCTTCATACCATAAAGCCAACCAACGGATGGGGTACAGGCACAACCAATGGGCCCTGAATCTACTTTTCAGAAATTCTGAAAACAAAAATATATTTTGAAAAATGTATTGTGCCATTTTTCTATTTTAATAATTATGTTATTAGCAATATAAGTTTTTCTGAAAAAAATATAATGATGATAAACTCAGGGTCTGATTAAACAAAACCAAGAAGATAGGTATGTTCACAATGGTTTATTCTAGAGAAATTATATTATTTCTAGGTCGTTTCAAAATCTAAAAAAATAAAGATATTCAATATGTATCTCTTTCAACATTCTCCCTGAAATAACTTACGCTTTCAACCTAAATCCCCTTTAATATTCCCCTAAATCCCTTGAATACTGTTCATCCTGTATCATCTTCAATATTTACCCTGTATCCTTTTTAGTCTTCACTCTGTATCCTCTTCAGTATTCACCCTGTCTTAATCTTCCGTTTTCACCCTGTATCCTCTTCAGTATTCACCCTGTATCCTCTTTAGTATTCACCCTGTATCCTCTTTAGTATTCACCCTGTATCCTCTTCAGTATTCACCCTGTATCCTCTTTAGTATTCACCCTGTATCCTCTTTAATATTCACTTTTTTATCCTCTTTAGTATTCACCCTGTATCCTCTTAACTGTTCATCCCGTATCCTCTTCAGTATTCACCCTGTATCCTCTTCAGTATTCACCCTGTATTCTCTTCAGTATTCACCCTGTATCCTCTTTAGTATTCACTCTGTATCCTATTTAGTATTCACCCTGTATCCTCTTTAGTATTCACTCTTTATCCTCTCAATTATTCATCCCGTATCCTCTTCAGTATTCACCCTGTATCCTCCTCAGTATTCACCCTGTATTCTCTTCAGTATTCACCCTGTATCCTCTTTAGTATTCACCCTGTATCCTCTTTAGTATTCACCCTGTATCCTCTTTAGTATTCACCCTGTATCCTCTTTAGTATTCACCTTGTATCCTCTTCACTGTTCATCCCGTATCCTTTTCAGTATCATCCTGTATCCTCTTCAGTATTCACCCTGTATTCTCTTCAGTATTCACCCTGTATCCTCTTTAGTATTCACCCTGTATCCTCTTTAGTATTCACCCTGTATCCTCTTCAGTATTCACCCTGTGTGGTGGGTTAAAAATGAGCTTGCCCTCATCTTTAAAGGGGTGTTTCCCCCCATAAAAAGTAGTTGAAAATTTCTTGGCGCTGCGCGCTGCTTATTTNTACTTGATAAACAATTATGGCTTTATTCATAATGCATTTTTGGCATGTCTTCCCGCAACACCCATGAAGGTCGAGGGGAGATTACATTAGGAGAGGATTAAGGGTGAACAAAGAGGACGGAGGTTTATGACAGTCTTCAGGAGACTTCTCAAGACTTCAGAGAGTAATACAGAACTATACAGAGGGATACATTATAATATATAGTCCTTGAATCTGGACTATAACAGTGGACTACAATGGGGGTAGTCTCAGGAGTCTACTCACGACTTCAAAGAGTAATTCAGAACTATATAGAACAATACTTTATAATATTTAGTCCTTGCATTAGGACTACAATGGGCTATATAGGGGACATGTAGTAGACTTTATACAATAACAGCATTTTTAAGGCTTCAGAAAACTTGCTCCCCCCCCCCCTGGCTAAAATCCTGTGTACGCGCCTGTAAAAAGTAAAAAAAATCTTTTGAACACATCATTAATCAATATGGTTATCAAAAGATCCACATAAAACACTGATTTCAGTCGAAATAATTGAAGTCCGTGGATAACTAAACAAAATAATAGGCATAAAAGTTGCTTTTAAGACAAAAAAAATTTCAGTGTTTCGAAAAACTTTTTTTGGTCTTAGATGAAATAGTCAGTATTCCGTCTAGAGCAGACGGATTTTAAAAAATCCATATTATATTTACTAATGACTTGAATCATTTTTTAATTCGGCAAAACCTCTTTGTATAAAAAAACACTGTGCAGTTTGCAAACAAAACATTTTCAAGTTTTATGGATTGGTATTTTTGTTCCGACAGTTTAGAGACACTAAGGACATGTTTACAGAAGTCAGGAAATCAATAAGTCTAAAATATCGGTTCATCCCTTTTAGAATAATCAATCAATCAATGAGTTTAATGAGAATTAAAAGCAAAATCAAAAAAGATAATCGAAAATTATATCAAGACATGTGCAAACATACCTGTACAATGTATAATATCTTTAAACTTAAGTTTGTCTGAAAAAGTAACAAATCGTTCACCTCTAGTAACAGTTAATTTCGACTTTTAATGCATTCAAAGCATTCCAAATCGTGTTTTACCGTTGATATTAAAGGTATGTAAAAGAAATCAATCAATATTTATTATGCTTTGCTTGTTTCAATCAAGTTATGTTCTTTATTTTGTATTGCAAATGATTGTTCTGTAAATCCTTCGGATCTTAGTAAAATGTTAGTTAAGAAACAAATGAAATATTTTGATGTCCCATTGGAACATGAATGGAAAGTTCCTGTTTTACAAGTACTTTTAAATACAAGAATGAATAATTTATATGTTGAAGGATTCGATGATTACGTAATAACTGAAATGATAAATATGTTATGTAATGATCAATGTTGTCTATTTGTGCATAATTTTGCATATTTTTCTCTTTTCTTTTGGAAACCTGTATTTTCAAAAATTTATTTAAACAAATTTAAACGACACCATTTATATATGTATTTATATCTTTGTGTGTGAATAAATCTTTATAATAATAGTATAAAATTGTAACTAGAAAAGAGGCGCAAAACGCCATGAAAGTCTTGTCTTAATGTTTTGGTCATTATAGTTTAAGGAAAAATGCGGGTAGACCCAGAGTCAAGGACATAAATGCTTGTAATCTTTGTTCCGTAGACGTATTAATTTTAAGTACAAGGTGTCCCACATCATATACGAACGTCAATGGGTCTGAATTACGTTTTTCATCAGAAAATTTAAGAACAATGAATCATTTCGAAAAATTGAATAAGGCTGATGCAAAAATTTGATTGCGAAAAAACCTAGATTTTTCCAGTGTTGTGTGTCTATTTAGAGGTTAAGCTTAAAGAGATAATCTAGAATGATATGGGACTGAATTCCTAGACACCCTGTAAATTTTAACCAGTGCTTAGGATCCGGATGATTTTGACTTCCTGGATCCGGGTCCGCAAAAATATGCGGATCCACGGATCCGGATCCAAGGGATAAAATATCAACCAAAAACTGTAAAAAAAGACTTTTTTACTTCTTAAACCCAAATCTAAACTTTTAAAAAAAGGGAGATTATAAAAATTTCCTCATTTCGGAATTGTTTTAGGGAACATGAAAATAAAAATTTGAAAATTTTTTTTGTTATAAAAATTCATTAAATCTTAAAAGATATGACCTGGATCCGGATCAAGATTAAATGGATCCTAAGCATTGAATTTTAAACAAGTTGAGAAAGATTCGCATGTTCAGTTAAATCCTACAAGCCTTTCTTCACTCTCGTAAATAAGAAATATGTTGCCAATATTAATATAGAATATCGAAGTTTTTAGGAATATGTACGTTTAGTTACACCAGGTTACTCACACAGAATGAGACTATTGTATGGAATTCATTCCACCGTTGTTGTTGCAATAAAGATTCTCTACATTAAAGCATGTTTTTATCTGCCTTTAGAACACCATGAACCTGAATTGAATTAAATCTCCAGAGTCCAAATTTAATGAATTTGAGCCGCGGCTTAAATCTGCCAAAAACCAGTTTCAATTGAGCGCCGGCTTAAATCTTGAAAAATTTGATGAAATTTGAAGTGGAATCAACTTTATTGGAGCCAAAAAGTTTAAATTCTTTAAATTCGGCCTCCGGTCGTTATAAAGAGTTTTGAGTGGTCGTTATAAGTCTTATCCTTTGTGAGAACCCTGTGTGCTCCGAGTCATTTTATCTGAAAATTACGACAATTCTCTAATTCTCTCAATCTTTGTTTAGATTTAAAATAATTCTGCAAAAATCATATCATTAAACTCGATGAACTAAGAGCATAAAAAAATATCTTAACCTAATTAACTTTATCTTTCTTTTTAAACAAGAAAAATTCGACATGTAAAATATTTTGCAACTAGGTGAAAAAAAAATATTTTACAAGTTAAATGATCTTCACTACTACTTGCAAACAATCGACGACGAAAACTATTTTTTTTTAAATATTTGAAAAAAATACTATATTATCTAAAAATTAATAAAAATATACATAATATACTTTTTTGACCATTTATTGAGGATGAATTCTAAATTTCTAAGACGTGCAGGATAACTATGGAAAAAATCTAATTTAATTAAATTCATCAAAACGCTCTCGTAATATTTTGAGTGCAATTAATAACTGCACAAATAAAACTTAATTGAATGAATGAATTTATTTAATCTATTTTCAACTTAATTCAGCAAGTGAATGTTGGTCAGAATTTCAAGATCTTGGCGTTGTAATAACACAGACTGTCAGAACCCGATATTTTCAGCTTTTCCCGTCCCGTTCCTTTTCTCGTCCCGTTCCCTTTCCCGTTCCGGTCTATTTCCCGTCCCGTTCCTTTTCCCGTCCCGTTCCTTTTCTCGTCCCGTTCCCTTTCCCGTTCCGGTCTATTTCCCGTCCCGTTCCTTTTCACCTCTCAACATTACATTTCCCTCGTCCTGCAGATAAAAAATATGATTAACCATAATTTTTTTTAATCAAAAACGCAGACTTATAGTGTCAAGCAACAAAGACATGATTAATACTTTCCTTTTAAAAAATGGTAATAATTTTCAAATTTCTGCATGAAAAAAAAAAACAATACTTAGAAATGGCAAAACTTAAAGCGTAATTTTAAAGATGGCAATGCCAGATTCACAACAGTACCCTTGAAACCTTTATGGTAAATAATGTAGAAGATATTGTAGTTTTTCTAGTTAAGTGTTTAATTCTGATAATTCCATTAAAATTTCTGCAATTGTAGAGTAACCACAAATATAAATAATCAGTTTTTAAAATCATAAAACATTGATATACAATTCCTACTTAATGACAAAGCTTTGCAGGGCACCGTTGCGAATCAGATATTGTAATCTTTGCATGGAGGGTTACTTTAAGAAATATTCAAAGTCTGGATCCGGATATGACCGGATTAATTTTTAATAAAAGGATTGATCCAAGATCTAATTGAAAATTCAATGAATCTTAAGCACTGGGTTGAATATTGGAATTTAGCTCCAGGGTTACCCACAAAGGACGAGACTGTAAAGACGACATAAAAATCTTCAAAATATGACAATTTCGAAGCTGAATTAAGTCTTCTGGCTTAAGTGGTATTTTTAGTGATTGGACAAAGAAACAAGTTTACAGTTGCAGCTGGAGTCGTGAATATAAGGAACTGACAATATAAATTCAGTACAATCGTCTCTGAAGTCTCATCCTTTGTGAGTAACCTATTATAAAAAAAACCTAGGAAACAATTTTGTTAGCTGGATCCAGATCATACAGAAGGGGATTCACTTCCACATGTATCAGAAATAAAATATAGAGGCATTTGACGGAAAAAAATGAAAGATAAGTATTTAATATCCTTTAAATTTTAAAAAGGATTGGTACTTGAACCCCCCNCGAAGAAAAGAATTATTCTAAAAGCAACAAAAATCTGTGTAAATACCCCTTACAAATCAAGTTTATGAAAATTACACCAAAATTTGTTTTTCACCAACATTCCCTTTAAACTTGAGGTAAAAATTAATTTTCCCTAGACTAGTCACAGTAGCAGGAGTATTGGTTCTGTTTACTCACCTTCGAACTATATTGTGTAGATTCCAAAGAGATTCCAAGCCCGTTCTACTCCTTACTTGCTACAACGAACGCTCCGAGACAATCCTGAATGTTAACATTATGTTATTAGGATGAATTTACAAAATGTAAAAAGATTAAATATAAGGATCTTTTGGTCCAGGAAGTGTTCAATTATTATTAAGAATGAAACTGATTATCCCCGCAATAAACATGGGAATGAGCGTGTCCGACGGGCCGGGGTCAGATTTCTTTAGGACGTTTCTCACCCGTTCATAGAGAAACTAAATTAAACCTGGCAATCGATCCAAGTATCCATAATTCCCATGTTTATTAACACCTTAGTTCAATAGAAATGATTCGTCATAACACCAATGATTTAATTTATTTTCCCTGTTAACCATGATTGAATGTCTATGTCCATAATTTAGTATCAATTTTAACCTAAAGCATAAACAACCATTTTTTTAGGTGTTATAAACACACACTATTTGTTTTAAAATGTCTGAAAACCTCGTAGTGTCATTATAAATTTATTGGTTTTTAGAGATGTAATAAACTTAACTTAAATTATCCAAAATATTACTATACCTCGCGAATTGCGCCATAGTTCCCTTTAACACTCGATTTTCGTGATGAACCCTTTAATCTTCATTCGATATTCATATTATAAACATTATATACACTACTTCATACATCTTAAATTAGTTCATTAATCCAATCTCTTTCTTGGAATAAGTTGTTGTTACACTTCTGTCTCATTATTGATAACAATAAATATCTATAAACGGGAACATTCAAGTTAAATCTCTGCTTAGGATTATGTATACCTGATGGCTCTTAGTTTCAAACTTAGAGCTACTGGGTACTAAACTTAAGATACCTTGAATTTGTTTCAACAAAGCGATACTTTTAACTTAACATTTTACAGCACACTTATCTATTTCATGTTTAGATTAACTAAACTCTCTAACACTGAAAAAGGATCTTTCCTTCAATTTTTTTTTTATCATTAGAACCAAACGTATTTTATATCTTCAGAAACAACACTTTATTTTACGTGTCGAAAAAGGTAATGCTTTACATTGCGTTCGTGTTTTGAGAAAAATCGACGAGAATAAAAACAGCTTAGTATGGTCGTTGTCTATTCTGTCCATAACTGGAACCACTATATTCCTTCCCCCCGCCACCATACAAGCCTTCATCATACTCTCCGCCGCCGTAGCCAGAATTTCCGCCGTAAGAATTTTCAGCTCCATACCCTGAGGCACCTCCTGTACTGTAGCCTCCACCAGCACCAGAGCTATATCCTCCGCCTCCAACTGACCCATAGCCTCCATCAGCTCCTGTGCTATAGCCACCGCCAGATTCATAGCCTCCTGTACTATAGCCTCCGCCTCCTGATCCATATCCTCCTCCGCTTACTGATCCATATCCACCACTTTCTGATCCATATCCTCCGCTTCCTCCTGATCCGTATCCACCGCCCCCAGATCCGTATCCGCCGCCCCCTGATCCGTATCCGCCACCACTTCCGGCCCCAAAACCACCATCCCCCCCCGAACCATATCCACCCCCACCTCTTGATCCAAATCCGCCACCACCCCTAGATTCGTATCTGCCCCCTCCATAACCCCCACTGCTCTCCCTTTCGCCTCTATCTCCGCCTCCTCTACCACGACCCCGTCCTCCAAACCCTCCTCCACCCCCTCCCCTGGCTCCGAATCCCCCTCCTCTGCCTCTGTCTCCGCCCCTCCCTCTTCCCCGTCCTCTTCCACCCTCTGGCTTTGGTGGCAACTTGGCCATATGTGGTTTGACAATACTAGGTGTTACTCTGATAGGATGTCCTTGATACATTTGATTGTTAAATGTTTGTAGAGCACTCTGCTGGCTAGCAGAGTCACAGTAGGTAATAGTGCACTCACCAGTCGGCTAAATTAATGGAATTTAGAAAGAAAAATTTAGAAAGTCAAATATTTGAAAACCTGTGTTTCAAAAAATAACAGTTGAGTTATAAACAATGATATACCTGTCCAGTTGTTTTATCGTGGTACAACCAGACACGAGGTTTTTTAGTTTCACGATCAGATTTAATATTTCCAACAGAGCTGAAGTATTGAACAAGCTCAGGTATCTTAGCAGAGAGCGGTAATCCTTCTATAAATATTTGAACCTCAGAGCTGATACGTTCCTCATCTGGTCCACTGCGCTGAAATCTTCCGCCTCCGCCACCTCCTCTACCACGGCCTCCACCTCCACGACCTCCAAACCCACCTCCACCTCGACCACCGAATCCTCCGCCTCCACGACCACCGAATCCTCCGCCTCCACGACCACCAAACCCTCCTCCCCCTCCTCTAAACCCTCTATCTCCCATTTTAAAACCTATAAAAAATCAGAAATGGCAAAATAAACTAGAAGAAAATGTTGTTTCCAAAGATATAAAAGTTGTATATTTTGACAGCTAACGCCATATTTACTTTGATGAATTTAAACCTTATATTCCAAAACATTTATTGACGGACAAGACATGTGGACAAACAATTCCACAGTCATTCATAAATACAATATTATATTTGGGGATTCATCTCACATATAACCTTGGAATATTTTCAATTTTCACGAGGTATTTAGTTTTATTTGTTTAATACGGCCTGTGGCGACCTCCACCGCCTCCATCTCTACCACCATCTCTGTCCCGGCCTCCTCCACCACCGCCTCTCATAGGTCCGCCTCCTCCACCGCCATAACGATCTCCGCCACGATCTCCTCCAAATCCACCACCACCTCCTCCTCTACCTCTGCCACGTCCACCTCCAAATCCTCCGCCACCCCCTCCTCCTCCTCCGCCGGGCTTGGGAGCTTGACATTTGTTGCACGCATCCCTCCATGCAAAGTTATTGTTTCCACATTCACAACTCCAGTCTCCAGGTCTAGCGCTTCCTCCACCTCCGCCACCTCGGTCTCCTCTGTCACCACCTCGGTCTCCTCTGTCGCCACCCCGGAATCCTCCACCTCCTCTATCTCCTCCATATCCGCCGCCTCCTCCTCCTCTGCCTCCACCGAAACCACCTCCACGACCTCCTCCACCTCGGCCACCAGGGAATCCTCCTGGCGGAGGTCCTCTAATCATTGCCATAGTGACCTTGATAAGTTTACCATTGAAGTCTTTCCCATTGAACCACTGTATAGCACTCTGAGCTGCGTTAGGGTCGTCATATGTGACAGTAGCCTCACCTTTAGGCTGTCCTGTCATCTTGTCGGTGTAAACAAAAATCTTCTGTTTTCCCGTCTTTCTGTCCATCTTGATAACTCCGATGGAACCGAAGAACTGAGCAATATCTTCTTCTGTGGCATCATAAGGCAATCCCTGCACAAATATCTGATTGTCTGATGGAACTTTGTCTACAGGAGCGTAGCTTCCTCCTCCTCCACCACCTCCAAACCCTCCGCCTCCTCCACCACGTCCTCCACCGCCTCCTCCATAGCCTCCACCGCCTCCTCCATAGCCTCCACCGCCACCACCTCCGTAACCTCCTCCCCCTCTTGAACCGCCATCTCTATCTCCTCTGTAACCGCCTCCACCACCACCGCGTCCTCCACCATATCCGCCATCTCTATCCCCTCCTCGAAATCCTCCTCCTCCTCCACCACGACCTCCGCCACCACCCCTTCCTCCACCTCCACCTCGTCCGCGGTCCTGATATCCAGAGTAAGCATCATCTACACCGTGTGCTGCGTATCCAGCATAACCGCCACCGCCGCCGCCGTATTGGTCACCCATTCCGCCTAGAGAGAACACATTTGCAACCTTACACCCCGTACTTTTCAAGCTTAACTTTAACGCATTAAATAAATTCTTAAGTAAAGAGCAGCAAAATTTTTTCAATCAAAAATATTCAACTTTTAATCTTTGGAAACAATCTTATTGCACACATTACACATTCATAAAAATATGATAAATTGATACAACATTTTCACCTTGAAAAAATTATAATTTATGGAACATCCAGAAAACATTTTTATTGAAAATGATTTTCATTTAAAAATATTTTCTAGTGTTCATAAATGACTAAATAATGTGAATGTATGTCCGCTGCAATAATCAAGCTGCTGTATATATCTTTTATACATGTATTTTTCAATCAAGCTTTCCAGTTCGTATTTAATTAAATAATTTAAGAAACCCCATTGATGATAAAATGGTTGAAATTTCAAGTGACCTTCCAATTAAAGAGACGTATCTAGATTTACAACGCTACCCTTTAAACCTTTATCTGACCAAGAAAGTTTTTCTAGCTTAAGTTATGTAGCTTAAATCTGCAAATTGTAAAACACAACTACAATTAATATCAAATTTAAACGAGAAAAACTAAGATATCTAATCGATTCTGATCAGAAAAAGGTTTGTAAAGCACCAATGTGAATCGAACATACTTCTACATTTTAAAAGTTAAAGATAACTAAAAAATACATTTGAAAACTTAAAAGATTTTGTTGAATATTTTTGTTTGAAAAGATGACTTACTAACATCTTGATTGAGAGCAGGTGACTTACAAACACCCGGCGTATATATTTAATGTCTATAACATTTTGTTTAAACTATGAAGAAACTTTAATATGGTGTCAAAGAATCACTGTGAGGTGTGTGATGTTTCATAAAATCCTGACCTTCCTAGCTAGGGGTTTATAAGTGTGGGAATTACCCCCTCTGATTGGTTTTAACATGATCTGGAAAAAAAGGAACATTTGACGCCAGACTAATTATAATTTGTCCTTTTTGTTCCCCCTTAATTCTAAATTCTTTTTCCCAATTCGGCGAAATAAAAAATAGAAAAACAATGTGCTCCAACTTAGTTCTGGGTAAAAGATCTTTAAAAGGGGGAGATTTTTCGAGAAAATATACATCCCTGTATTATGTTACCGCCTTGAAAAGTAGAAAATTTCCCTAAAAACAGTTAGTATCCCCCCCCCCGATCTTAGTTATTTGGAGCGCCTACATATTTTACAATAACTTGACGAAAAGAATGACAATTTGTGATCGAGGTCCATTTTTCCCACACAGGCTTAATGAAACATAGAACACACACCTCTTAGTGTTTTTTTGAATAAAAACATAATACTTCTTTTGTTCAGATAATAAAGATTATTTCAACTCAATGCAATAATGTCAATAATAATTTTAAAAATATCACGCAAGATAAACGATAAATCCTGGGAAAAACTCAAGGGTATATATTCAAGATCAATTGAAAATTGGGGAAATTATCTTAAATTATTCGAAACTATCTATGTAAAAACTTTTTGTTCCCCCTGGCCTTTCTGAAAATGTTTACCAATAATTCGTTCATTTCCCCCAAAAATCACGTATTCCCATTTTTTCGCACATTTCACAATAAAATTTAATGCTTCATTCAAATATATCAAACATATGAATAAGAAGTTTATAAGAACGGGGAGGGGGGGGGGTTAAACTTGATATATATACCCCTGTAATAACTTTTAATTTTAATTGATAAAAATAATCCTTAGAATCGCTGAAACAATTAACTTACAAATTACAATGAAAGAAAACTGAACAGTTAATAATTGAACTAGTAAAAAATTTAGGAACTGATCAGTAATCTTTGAGCGATCAATAAGACTGTGTAAACTAAAACATTTAATGTAGAATAGATTTTGTTCGATAAAATGAGAGAAACCCCCATGAGAAAGGGGTTTGAATATATAGCATCCATTGCTACACAAAATTAATATAAAATTTTGTAGTTATAACCGAACCTCGATAGTCTTATTTTTAGTTTATATACCGTCAATTTTGATTTCTTATCATCATACAACAGTTTAAAACTAAAACATTAGTTTGACAACCCAAACTTTCCATTAAAATCTGAATTAAGTTTCAAAAATTTCTTCAGTCACACTAGTTCAAATACCATCGTTGTTTTGATACCTTGAATTTATCTCGCTATATTTTGTTATGACAAACCTATACTTCGCGACCCTAATAATATATTAAAATATCAACTTTATGTTTCTTCACCAAATCAAGGAACAGAATCTGTCTGTTCGTAAAAAGAAAGACAATTTAAGTGTTGTCAATCGAATAGATATTTGTATAAATCGATCATATATTGTAATTTCAAGATGTGGTTTAATAAACCCATTTTTATATCCATGTTGATGAATTTTATATAAAAAATAATTGTCAACTTTTAGTTTTGTGTGTTTTATCACGTAAGTTGAACCAAATCAGACCAAAACCTTGTCGCAATCAAGCGAGAACATGTTAACTAGATATTATCTTCATATTTTATCATAACCGTTATGTTAACACTGATATAAAATCAAGCGATAACATGTTAACTAAATATTATCTTCATATTTTATCATAACCGTTATGTTAACACTGATATAAAATCGAAACTATTGAGTTTATATATTAGGTGAGAGGATTAAACCTGTTATAAATGTATTCAATCCACAGTATGATCAGAATTCTTTAGATGTAATGACAGTAATAACAAAATAATTTAACCAATGGTATCGAGAACAATGACTGATATTCCATTTTGTTGTATAAATCCCAGATTATATTTAGATATATTATTGTACCTTTATAAAAATCGATTATTAAATAGATATTTTATAATAAATGACCATCATATATAATAATTTCAATTAGGTACTTCATCAACCAAATTCAATTTCCATTTTTAAGGAAACCTTTTAGTTCTAAAAACCCTGGTAGTCATGAACACTAAAAATCCGTTGAAATATTGTCACATGGTGAACATCTCGTAAAAAAAGACAACAAAATCCTATTTAATATATAATGATCGTTGTTAATACACAGAACATAGTTCTTCAGATCAATATCGAATATTATTTCATATTTGTCGACACCTCTAACCTTGTAGATATTCAAATTAATATATTAAGGACCAGAACTCTTATAAAAGATAATATTAACCAAATATATCACGTTCTTGCTAATTCAGCACATTAAAATTCATTTAGAAAACCAACACCGAAGCCAGTGGGATTGGAGCGATAACGTCGCTGTTTACGATAATATTCAGGGGCGTATTCAGGAATTTGTCCAGGGGTTAAACAAATATTTGACACCTATTTTCAGTTAAATAAACCAAAAAATTCGCTCTAACATTAACTAAGGATTACTGAAATTGTTAAAAATGAATCCCTACCTTAAAATAGCGAAGAAATGCGATGAAGAAAGGTTGAGAAATCTTCTAAGTAGTGTAGCGTTGATTTTAACACGCTAATATAATGTTGTTGAAGGTGCAGATTGAGGAGGACAAAATGGCGACTGCACCGACTGCTTGGTAGGACGCGAGGAGCTAAACAGGGATAACTTTTCACGAACTGACCAAAATGAAAAATAAAAAAATTATAAAATCAATAATTTTTACATTTCATATTAAACATATACTAAGACTTTGTGAAACAATTTTATCCCTGGGCTCACCCTCGATTCACCGATAGCCAATCAGCGTCGAGAAAGTTTTGATCAGCCAATCATAGCTGTAATCAATAGCCGGCTTTCAACAGAGCCCAAATCGTGTCATCCGTACTATTTGCAAACATATGACGTCTCCATTTACTTACGTCCTAAATACGGAGGAATTTTGTACTGTCAGGATCTTTCATGACATTATAGTGTCTGACCATAAACTGCTACATGGCGTGTTAATTGTTGGGAAAATTCGGGCTCAGTAAACATGAAACTAAAAAGACGACATTTTCTTCGAATATTAATAAGATTAAGCTGTTCAAAGTTCGCATCAAAAAAAAAGAGATTCACGATGTGTAACTTTTATTTTCATTTTATCAGAGATAAAGATCGTTAAGAAATCTTCCAGGGGGATTCTAAAGCAGTTTAGGTTAAAACTGCAGATTAAAAGTGCGATGATTTTCCCCTGAAAACGTTTAAGATGTTATAAACTGAGAATTGGTACCAATTGGAGCGTACACTGGAATAATTGTCCGGAGACTCAGGATCAGCACCCGTTATGGCCTAAAAAACCCCATGGAAACCATAAATTTATTTTCCCCCCTCTCTCCGAATTTCTATACTTATAGGAAAACTTTTCCAAGTTAGAATCCAATACGATTCATTAACTCATCTCATGCAAAAGTACATATCCGCTGCAACTGCACCACAGAATTATAAGCTTTTTGTTTTGAGAGATAAAGAGTCATCAATCATCATTCAGCACTCTACGTGTTTAATTGCATATCATAAGTAATAAAAAGAAAACATAAAACCTAATATTCGAACATTAAAACAATTAGAGAGTTTTAATTTTCTAATCCCTTTTTCTTTGCAACCATAAATTTAAACCTTTGATATATTCAAACTTTGACTTTTAATCAAACAAAATTTATATAGTAATTGCAGTCGAGATATAAACTGTTTACAAATTATAACTAATGGGTTGCAATTATTAAGGGATTAGAAAAACTTAAATTCTTTCCTTTGCCTATCCATGTCTGTATGGGAAGCATGAATGTAAGAAACAGGACTAAAAAAATTAATGTATAAACGTCTCATCGATCTCATCCTGTGTGGGTAACTTCAGTATGTGTAACAGCAATTATAACATTCTAGAGAAATTAATATAGAACCATGAACACGTGACTCACACTCCAATTTTCTAATCTTTATATCTTTACAACCTTTGATATTTTAAACATGATGCTGCCGGCCCTAGAATTTGATCTGTAAATCAACATGGTCAAGGTTTAAAATATCAAAGTTTTTATAGGTTTCAAACTTTCCTGATTTTTACAAAGGCTGCAGCTGGTATGAAATAGGGTTCCCAGCGATACGGAAAATATAAATATAGATTCAAGATTGACATTTCGCGAAATTTTCGCATTTTCGCTTCGTTTTCGCTTCATTTATTTTCGCAAAAAATGCGAAATTTTGCGAAAAAATTTGCAAAAGACGATCGAAATTTTTTGGATTTTTCGGATCGCTGGAAACCCCATTATGAAACTTGAGAAGTGATACTATAGTTTCACAAAAAAACTAAAAGAAAAAATGGATTGGTAACAGAAAGACACATATAATGATTAAGGGCGTATACAGAAAAAAAATCAAGTGCGGGGGGGGGGGAAATTTGTTTGCCCCCAAGGAGCTCCGGGGGGGGGGCAAAATTTGAACGGTAAATTCAAAACATTCGGCTTCTTGGATATCATGCTTAAGTCTAGTATAAGATGCTTTAAAGGTACACATACAGTCCAATTACCTTGCAAGTTGCATGTACTATACTTTATCTCTTCTTCAAACAAGATACTAGCAGAAAAAAAATATTGTTTCTAAAAATCTACATTTTATTATACTGTTCTGTTAGTAATAATTATATAGTATTTAAACTAAAAATTGTAAAAAAATTAAAAAACTCAAGCCTTCGTGGCTTGGCATTTAAAAATAATTGTTTTACTTTGCTATCCCTGATAGCTGCCATCCGATTAGGATAAATGTGCATTCTAAATAAATTTTTTCATTCGGACTTCTGTCATGGTGGCTCTGGTCCATGTATACAATTTTCAATTAGTGCACTAATTTGTTTTTATGTTCTTCACTCTTGAGTTTAAGATTCGAAAAGTGTAAAAGCTCTGAGTTCTAGGGGGGCAAGGTCTAGGGTGGGGCACTGCCTCCTTGCCCCCGACCCCTGTATACGCCCTTGGTTGCACGGTCTCACGCAAAAATCTATAATAATTTTACCAATAACTTTCTTAAAACTGAAACTAAAATTTGGTTTTTTATAGTTCTACAATGTGGAATGAACATGTTTAGAACAGTGAGATAAATNCCCCCCCCCCCCCTCGTACGCCTCTGGTACAGTTATCAAATATGATAATCAGTTAGAAAATAATCTCAATAACCCCGCCACTAATTGATTATAGTTTTTTATCTTAGAACCTTATATCTTTAATTATAGGCTTTGCTTTGTTTAGAAAAATTATAATCCCGATCGATGTGCAAACCTGCCGAATGTCGTAGGTCTTTGATATTTTGAACAGGCCCATAGCCAGGGGGGGGGGGTAAGGGGTCAGAGCCGGCCCATGCTACAGAAAATTTTCATAATTTTCGTAAAATATAACGAGTAATTTTAGTTATAAATTATGTCCGACGTAATTCTTTACTAATGTCAACGCACTATGTAATTTAAGCTTGAACTTAATGTTGCAGTGAAAATTCGATTTCCCCTGAATTTGGTGTTTGACTAGCGGGCCTGAACACCTGAATCTATCTTAACCAAAGACTTTGCTGAATGCTGATTTCTTTGCTGTTTAGTGTTTAATGTTTTAGGTTCCGATTTTTCTTTTCAAAATAATTATATTGACGCGGCACGGAAGCAAACATTTCTAGTTGACCCTACACGGTAAACTTCGCACCTTACTCCGCCTGAGCACCTGCTAGTTTTATCGTACCGACCGGTCTGTCTATTCCTAGAGGCCGTGTCTGTACACATAATCATCTCTAAACCCGTCCACTCCATCCACTGGTAATCATTTTAGTTTAGTTGTCTGTCAGCTGACAAGGCCCAAAATCCTTGAAACTCTGAAGACGTGTGCGTAGATTTAAAATTAACCAACACAAAAAAACTTCATGTTTGTGAAAAATGTGACATCCTGACGTTTAAGCTTTCACGATTCCGATTTTATGAAAAGATTAATAAAATTTTGTAAACTCGTGATTATATAGATTTTATATAGGCTATTGTGCACCTGGCCAGTGGATTTCCTGCACATTTCAGCATATTATTACAAATGATTTTAAATGAAACCTCTCCAAAAAAAATATTGTAATACAGATTTTAAGGTACAAGAAAGAATTTGAGAAATAATCATAAAATGGACAAATTGTGACATTGTCGATTGATAAGAAAAGTAAAAAATCTGAATATATGTAAGTTTTCCACTCATTTCTGGCATTTACAAACTCCATCAAATAAAGAATTTATTTAACCTACCTTTTAGCTTTCACCTTGTTTTATATCCTTCATTATAGTCATTCATTTTTCATTAACTACAAAGATCTGTTAGAAAAATGATTATGCTTAATACGCTGCAAAACTTTGAAAAAATATTGTCTTTGTTTATATATTCTAATTTCCAGAGGCGCAACTAGCCCTTTTGCTAGGGGGGGGGGGGTAGAGGCAAAATATTATTTTGTAATGGTCCGGGGTGGGGTGTAGGGCCCCACTTTAAACAATTTTTTCAAAATAAAAGCGCTTTTTTAAGAGTGTGACGTCGAAAAAATTAAATTTTCAGTTGTTGCATGCAGATTTGGCTGTGTTCAATTCAAATTTTTTTTTCTTGTATTTTTTAAAAAATTTATATTTTTTAACAACTGTAAAATTAACGATATGAGTCAATCAATTCTTTTCATGTGTGAACGGAGCGCAAAAGAAAATTTGTTAAGTACCTTGTTTAATTACAGATGTAATTACAAGAAATAATCATTTATTCTGAAAAAAAAACATCAAAATACATACATAATTTTAATCATCTACATTGAAAAAGGACGGATAATGTTACGTTTTCTCCTAAAGTTATTGAATATGATTGATAATTCTAAAAATCTTATTTCATTTTCGATTTTATAAAAGTTCTTTCAAAGGGGCGTAAGAGAGCATTTGTGCAGGGGGGGGGCACATTTTGTGCCCCCCCCCCCACTTGGCAACATTGTGCCCCCCCTTAAAGCCCCTTTTTTGACAAAAATATTGATATATTTTTTAACTATGTAAACTTAAATTAATGTAATTTTCTTAACAGGGAGGGGGCACATGTTGCCAAGGGGAGAGGGGCACAAAATCAGGCAATCCCTTTTAATACTGTAGTGTAAGCTTCAAGGGATGAAAAATATAGATGGAAACGTTTCTAAAGAAATACCTATATTTTCATAGGTTTGATACATATTGTATAATAAATTATGATATCAAATATATATTTACACTGAAGGCAGTATTGATTAAAGCTTTTTTAATGAAACTTTTTAAGTTAAGGGCAAAAGTGAGATTTTAAAGTATTTTTTTTCTATATGATATATAGAAAATATAATATACTTAAATATAACATGTTAACTAAATATTATCTTCATATTTTATCATAACCGTTATGTTAACACTGATATAAAATCGAAACTATTGAGTTTATATATTAGGTGAGAGGATTAAACCTGTTATAAATGTATTCAATCCACAGTATGATCAGAATTCTTTAGATGTAATGACAGTAATAACAAAATAATTTAACCAATGGTATCGAGAACAATGACTGATATTCCATTTTGTTGTATAAATCCCAGATTATATTTAGATATATTATTGTACCTNCCCTCTTATAATTTTTTTACATGGATCTCATATGTAACACATGATATTTATCATGTGGCCGCAGCCCTTGTCAGCTAGCCGCGGCGCCCGGCCCCCTAGCCTGTCCTAGCCGCAGCGCTCTGTCCAGAAATCGTCTTAACCTAACCTAACCCTAAAATAATAATTTTGCTGAAAAATAAGTGGTCATTTACAAAACTGATAGGAGGGGAAGGAGAGGGGAAGGGAAAAGTCCAAAAATCGTATACTAGGACGGACCCAATATTTATTTGTGTACTTCATTAGATCTATACCATAATTGCGTTAACAACTACTTTGCTTTAAATTACATTTACAAATTTGTATTAGTCATAATATCTAGCTATCTTTCTGTCTTATCTGTCTATCCACGTATCTATCTATCCCACCATCCATGTAAGTATGGGTAGTATGAAGGTATATATAAGGAGGACCGGTTCAAGTATATATATATAGGCAACACAGTTAGGCAAATACATCTGGTGGCAATACGGGACATTGAGGGATACATGTATAATACGAGATAAGAACCCCTCCCCCCTCAATTTGCAACGTTTTTTTTTAATCATGTTTTATTCTCAATTTTATTATAACTTTATTATTGGATTTTTTATCCAATGTTGATTTTTTGTTGTTGCTAATTTGTTACAACTATTGAGGATTTTTATTTTGTTGTAAATTAACTGACACACACTGTATCTGTAAGTGTACATTCTGTAAATGACTAAGAGATATTAAAAGCTAAGAAAACAATCTGTTAATTCTTGATATGCTGATTATTCGATTTCTTGTATCCATCAATTCCTCAGTGATTTCTTTTTATAAATTTTATGATCGTTTCTTGTAAACCTTTCTTCTTGGTTTATTTAATTCTTTTATTCAATAATATCTTCTTACATGATCTCATCCTTTCTACATTTTTTATATCACCTATTTTTAATTTGATTTTAAACATTTTTGCAATATGTTTGCTCGTAAACAAATCTAAATTGTAACTAATTAGAGAAGTTTAAAAACTTTCTAATCTCTGAGTGGTTCAGCAAAAAAAGCCAAAAAGAAATAATAGTAAATTATTTAAATTTTTTTTGTTTAACAAATTTGTAAATCTTGAAGAATTGTAAAGAATCCTGGATCCTGGATTGTATCTGAATCCGGATCCGCATCCAAATAAAATGGATCCTATAAGCACTGGGTTCGAGTAATTTTTTGTGATATTTGTCATACACGCAACAGATAGAAGTAAGATTAATAGCGATCAAAAGCGATTATTTTCGCCATAAGCCTATTCCCCTTTTTAGTTTTCTCGAACACTCTTTTTTAAGTGCAAGAAGAAAAAACTAAAAATTGTGTCGGAACAAAATTGCTTTAAACTTGAAGAATTATATATGCAAGCTTGAATCTGATGATTTTCGTTACAAACTTTATTTCAAGTTTTATGTTGGCTCCATGTTTATATATTCCGATTGTGCCATGTGGAGCCGTGTATTTGTGTTGGCTCCATGTTTATATATTCCGATTGTGCCATGCTCCAAGCCGTGTATTTATGTTGGCTCCATGTTTATATATTCCGATTGTGCCATGTGGAGCCGTGTATTTGTGTTGGCTCCATGTTTATATATTCCGATTGTGCCATGTGGAGCCGTGTATTTGTGTGTATATACGAGGAAGGTATTGTTATATATCTACACAATAATACTATCTCTAGCATATATTCACGAATATCCCACTAAAGATAAGCAGTATGCGTTTATAACAAGCAAGATTCAGGCATGAAGAGGGGAAGGGGGGTGGATACCGGATACTGCGTAGTATAATATAGCAGGAGAACGATTGATTTTTACGCAAAAAGAATATCATATTTCATCGGGCCATCAATAAATGCTAATAACTCATCTTTGCAGTTGGTGATTTATTTTGTTTCTCTTTCATCTCTCTTATTCCTTCCCCCCCTCCCCCCTTACTGTATTTAAGTGTGAGATTTCAAGTTAACAGATTTAACATTCTTTGAACAGCATACCTATAGCGGAGACTCAGGATCAGCACCCGTTATGGCCTAAAAAACCCCATGGAAACACATGTTAACTAAATATTATCTTCATATTTTATCATAACCGTTATGTTAACACTGATATAAAATCGAAACTATTGAGTTTATATATTAGGTGAGATCCTTCAATCATATTCGGTAGCATCGTTGTATCTCTTAGTTTTTGTGTTCAATTTCTTTCTGTAATTTAAGCCTTCAATCATATTCGGTAGCATCGCTGTATCTCGTGAATCGTGTTTTATCTCTAGAAAAATATTCTACTGTCTACATATGGAAAATTAAATATGGAAGAAATAAAATAAAAAATCTCATAATATCTTTATTATGATATCATTATTTTCAAAACTGAAAGTTCTTAATCTTGATGATACATACAAACTTTGTGTTCTGACATTTATGCATGGATACTTTAATGATAACCTTCCCTCTTCCTTCCAAAATATGTTCAAGTCAACCGAATAGAACAATATCATATAAATTAGAACGGGTTTTAAACACAAATTTAGAAAGCTTTCCGTCCGCAATGTTTCCTAAATTGTGGAATGAAATTGAGATGGACCTTAAAGAAACTAAATCTGCAAAAATATCTAAACAAAGAATAATCAATATTTATCTTGAGAATTATGAGAGGTTTAAATGCGAAAAACCTAGCTGTATATCTTGTGAATAAATTTTATATAAAAAAAAATAAAATAACTGAAACTTTATTAGCTTAATTCTGTTTCTGTATCTACCATCATTAACACCCTGTATTTTAATTTATCTCTACATTAATCCCCCTGATCTCACCCTGCCACAGAACACCTGCCTTCCAATCACCTCCTTACCTATCCAAAAACATATCTTGATATGTGTAACCAATTATATTCAGTATCGTTAATTAACTTAGGGCCAACCACTCAAAACAATCAACCCTGGTTAGGCGGGTCCAAACTGCATAGTAAATTGTGATTGCTTATGTGTAATATCTCATGCTTTGTAGTTAAAAAAAATATGAATGAATGAATCTTTAACTAAAATGTTTTTACACTTTCATAGATGAAGAGAATACGTGCAGCGTATTGATTTTATTACTAATGTAAAAACTGGGATCACAGCTTTTTATCTATGGAGAAAAGTCTCAAGTTTTATTATCCACAGTCTCTTGCTAAGCCTTTTTCTTTGTTTTCAAATATTTTTTTCTCCAAGGAGGGGGTAAAAACAAATATGTATATACATTCACATTTGTTTTTATCATTGCTAAGAATCGGGATCCGTTAGATCCGCAACATCCGAGCGAGGGGAACATTTTTAAAAATATTTAAATATCAACCAAATCCCAAACACTTTTAAAAGATTTTTGCTCTCAAAACACATCTCAACTGTTGAAAAATAAGAGACTGTTATGATAGAATTAAGTTTTAAATATTTTATGGAAAGATTTATAATTTATACTTTATTGTTTATAGTAATCATATTATTTGATTGATTGATTGATTGATATGTTGCTTTCAGAATGTTAATATGAGAAGATGACGGCGCTAAGCAATAATCTAAATGAGTTAGATGTTCTATTACAGGTCCAGTAGCATATTCAATAAGTAACTATCTGCATGCAGCGCAATCAATATCTATTTATCATTTTGGCTTATTAGTCTGTCTCCTTTGTATCCAATAAACATTATAACAGCTGATCCGATCATGTTCAGTTTTTTTTGACAACTTACACGACCCCATACATGGTGTTAAAAAGTGAAAAGTTTTACCTGGAAAAAACGTAGATTTTTTAAAGATTTTATAAATCTATCAGAGTTTAAAGAAAAATCCGCAAAGTTTTCACAATTACGAAAATCCAAAAGCTTTAAATGTTGCTAAAAGAGTCTTTCTGTGCAATAGTTCTAGCGTTATCTCTACACTCAAACTAATTCCTAAAATAGGCCATTTCTAAACGCATAGAAAAAAAAATTTAATTTGTTCTTCCCATTAAAAGTGAAGCTAAAAAAATCAAGATGTCAGATTTTTTACTCCATCAATTTTTACTGTAGGATCTGTCCGCAGCTAGATACAGTGGACATATCGAGAGAAGAGAAACTGTTATAGAGAGTAGAACATTCTCTAGTCATTCTAATTATCAGGTCAGGGTTAGTGAGTACATGTTGAATTATTTACTAAGTACATAATAATGCCAACACATTTTTTACAGTACAAAGTACAATTCGCTTCAAAAATTTGTTAACGCTGAACTTCTGAACAAACTGTTTTCTTTTGTTTTAGTCAGGTGTATAAGAGTCGGAGGGGGGGGAGGGGGGGATTATTTTTCAGAAAAACAATTAACCCCGGTTTGTTTGGTATTTCTTAAATATATTGACATCTTCTCTTATTATTCTTAGTGCCCAGAACTCATAGACATGAGTAACTTACAAATCATAAGATTTTAATGACGATATTAAACTCTTCAATTGTAACGACCTTAACATTGAATTTGGTTTCCTTAAGCTTAGTCTTTTAGTTGTAAAAATGGGTGTAAGAAAAAATAACACATGCTTCATTATTTCATGGATTTTTTTTCTTTTGAGTAGGATGGATCAGACACTATTCTTGCACCACGGCCCCCAGAGAGGAATAAAAATAAAGGTAAACATTTCTTAAACTAATTTTCAAGTTAAAGTCATTGACGTTGTTGTCATTAAAAAAAAACCTTATCTATTTCTTATGAATTTTATAAAAAAGTTTCTTATACCATGGTATTTATTGTTCTATTTTGTTATAAATCAGTCAAGAAAATTATTTTATTGCACAATCAAACTATTTTATTTTTATTATTAATTTATTATCAACTAGACTATTAAACATTCAATGAAGAAAAATTTGTCAACCTTTGTAACAATTATTCTTTCTCTAAGGCATTAGTAATACGAAGCTTTTTTATGTGGAGGGGGGTGTCTTTAAAGCTGAAAATTAAATAGATAAAAAAATTGTTTCGGGAAAAAAATTAATTTAGTTTTTTTACGTAAAATTCAGGTGGAGTTGGCAAATTCTTAGATGGACCTGATCCCCATACAGAACTACATGCTGTAGAGAGAACTAGAACAGAGAAATCTACTAGAGTACTTACAGGTACATACCTCTTTAATGTCGGATTCCCTTTTTAGATCTTACTATAATTATTATTGTTATTATTATTCTGTACAATGTACAGTTGACGCACATACTGAAATACATGCTGTAATTAAACTAGAATAGATCGATAACACTGTCAACTAGACAGAAGGAGAAGTCAAATATTTGCAACTCTACTGCTACGATCTAGCTTTGATTTTATGCACAGTGTACACGTACTAAGAAATTCAAAATATTTTTATTCTTCTCAATAACTCTTTAATACGAGAAGTTATGATCAAAAACATTTAAGATTTCTATCTTTCATGAAATTTATTTAAATTTGGCGTGATAAATCTATCAGTGATATCGTGTACAGTATATTGTACATAGCTGTACAGTGTACAGTTATCTGTACACATACAGTACTATATGCTGTACTTGACCCAGCAAGAGAAATCAACTGGATTACCAACAGGTACATACCAGGACAGTGTACAACTGACAGACATGTAGACTTTCATTATGTACTTGAACTAAATTTTAAGTATAAACGGAAAACAGTGAAATTGAAATAATATAGCGAAAATGAAGTTTTTCTGATTTTTTATTCATTTTTTTAATTCTTAATTTTTTATTTTGTCAGATAGCGGGGATGAGAGTAAATGGGAGTACATGGGGTTCGGTATTTGGGAGAACAGGGATGGATCCACTTCACCCTCAGGTAGAGAAGAAAAAATTAGGAGAAAAAAATAAATTAATTAAGATATTCTTTTGTCTAGTCAGTTTTTTCGAAATCATTTGTAAATTTGTAAAAGTAATTTTTTTTCACAGAGAAAAATAAAAATTTATAATGATGTTTTGAAAATGTTTGGTTTAGGATTAAGAAATAGTGCAGAACGTACAAATGGTTTCAATGAATCCGGAGTCCAGGAGAATAAACTTAACTTCCAGGAATGAGCAGATTATATTTCATACAAGATAAAAAATCTTTAACTTTAAGGGTCTGTGGGCGGGATATCAAATGAACCACTTTTTATACAGGACCATGTCCGATTTAAAACGATTCCCTGAAATGCTTTGGCCAAGTTAGAATGAAAATTTTTCTAAATTGGATATTTTCAATTTTCATTTCTCTGTTAAAGTGATCTTCGGATTTCTTGTAAATCATGAAAGTTTGACATTATATAAAAAAAAAAAAGTTTGTTGGGCAGAATTTGATTAAAAATAGTTTTGATTCAATAAAATAAATCTGTCAAACTCAGGGTAAGAGTTTCGTTGAAGAGAGGGATATCTATGTTGATCGGTCAGCAGGATTCAACGCTGATCGGTCACCTGGATTCAACAACGACAGGTCACCTGGATTCAACTCTGACCGGTCACCAGGATTTAACGTTGAGCGGTCACCAGGATTCAATACCGACTGGTCACCAGGATTTAACGTTGAGCGGTCATTTAAGACAACTGAGAGAAGCAGTGGATACCAAGTTGAACAAGTTGGTGCATCAAATGCAACTCAAGGTCTGTTCAAACATCAAAAAAGATTAAAGTTATTTATTTAACGACTTTATTTAAAGACTTTTTGTAATACTAGAGTTGGTTAGATTTTTATGAATAAACAATAATTGGAGATATGTAATTTATCAAGCTATAAATTGATTTTTTGTAAATGCTTTAGAGTTGGATGATCTGATGACCTCGTTGAATAATTTCAAGATGGCGGATAGGAATGTTGATGAGCCGGTTATCTCACCAAACCTGGACACTATGCTGGGGAATCTTCAGGTACAATCCTTAACTTAGGATACCTCTCACAAAAAAATTAAGATATTTAAAGAAACAAAAAGTTTATATTTTTAAAGAAGCCAGCACTATGGTAGTCAATTTGAAATGATTTTTCCTGTATTCCCAGCTATTTTAATATTTTCCTATATTCCCAGCTATTTTAATATTTTCCTATATTCCCAGCTATATTAATATTTTCCTGTATTCCCAGCTATTTTAATATTTTCCTATATTCCCAGCTATTTTTTTCCTGTATTCCCAGCTATTTTAATATTTTCCTATATTCCCAGCTATTTTAATATTTTCCTATATTCCCAGCTATATTAATATTTTCCTGTATTCCCAGCTATTTTAATATTTTCCTATATTCCCAGCTATTTTAATATTTTCCTGTATTCCCAGCTATTTTAGTATTTTCCTATATTCCCAGCTATTTTAATATTTTCCTATATTCCCAGCTATTTTATTATTTTCCTATATTCCCAGCTATTTGAATATTTTCCTATATTCCCAGCTATTTGAATATTTTCCTATATTCCCAGCTATTTTAATATTTTCCTATAGTCCCAGCTATTTTAATATTTTCCCATATTCCCAGCTATTTGAATATTTTCCTATATTCCCAGCTATTTTAATATTTTCCTATACTCCCAGCTATTTTAATATTTTCCCATATTCCCAGCTATTTTAATATTTTCCTATATTCCCAGCTATTTTACTATTTTCCTATGTTCCCAGCTATTTTAATATTTTCCTATATTCCCAGCTATTTTAATATTTTTCTATATTCCCAGTTATCTTAATATTTTCCTATATTCCCAGCTATTTTAATATTTTCCTATATTCCCAGCTATTTTAATATTTTCCAATATTCCCAGCTATTTTAATATTTTCCTATATTCCACCCTATTTTAATATTTTCCTATTTTCCTATATTNCCCACCCCCCAAAAAAAAAAGATTATTTTAAAAATTTCACATTTTGTTTGGATTCTTTATTTTAACAGATTTGTAGGTCTTGGAAATACTTTCATTCAAAACCAATAAATAGCAGATAATTACACTATTCTTATTTGATCATCTCTTGTTATTGTATTCATCATTTGATCTCCACTTGTTTATTTTCAGCCAGTATTCATTATTCAACCAGTTCCAATGAAACACTATGAACACATTTTACAAATATTAAATATCTCCTGTTTTAATACGCAATTTCCTTGCATGTATATAAATTATACAATACATAAGTATACATCTTTAAGGGAGCGACCGGCTATGTAAGGTAGTTGTACTGAGTATGCAGTGTTGTGGAAAACTTCTTTCGGATTCATTTGAGACATATTAAAATTTTTAAAGATATGTAAATCCAAAGTTTGAGCGCAAATTCGACGTTCAAAACTCCTACTTTGTGGGTGGATACGTTTTCAGAAGCTTCTCCATTGCTTCTTATAAACAAGAAGTGCGCAAGTCACTATCGTAGCATTGCTAGCTTTGATAGGAGGGTTACTTGAAAAACCGCTTACAATCCCTTTGAGTTTAATCTTCCTCTATGATTTAATTTGAAACTACGACAGACATTGGTTTTGGTGTCTGCTGAAGCGACATGTTCAGAATGCGTATAATTTAGATATCAAGTTAACATTGCTATTCATTAGATGAAGTAAATATCAGTTTCACTTATAAAAATATATATTTCGGTCGGGGTTGATCTTAAGATTCATTATTGTTTTGCGTTGTTGCAATGAACCATTTTCCTAAATTTTTTGTTTAAATGGGATGTAACCATGTCAAAATTTACTGTTGCTTTTAGCATTCCACTTCGCTTTTAGTTGCTTCGTTTTTAGTGGGGTTTGTCCACATTTTGTTTACAGGTCAAATTTCGGCAAGACTGAAGAGCAAATGTTTTCAAAGATTTGCTTTACTTGCACAAATTTGGACCCTGACAGTAAATATTTGCAAAAAAACGACCCAACAACGATCCAAAAACGATGCAAAAATGAACGTGTTGAAACGAATGTCTCGGTAAGCAAAGTTCTTTGTTTAGGAGGATATGGATAAACAAGGAGTAAAAACTACCCAGAAGGGTGTTTGTGGCGCATGTAAGAAACCAATCGTCGGCCAGGTAAGCAGATTTCGTTCCATTTGTTGTTCTCTATAATGTAATATCTTTGGAACCCAGTTCTGCCGAAATATCTAGATATTTTTTATCTAAGCTAAGAATATGCCCGTGGTTCTAGCAAGTTACCCAATCAAAATTTGAGGCAAATTGATCATAGGTTTTATGAGTAATGATCGGATAGACATACAAAGATGTTGAGACAAATTTATTGTTACGTTTCATAGATGGAAATTTCATAAAACAAAAGCTTAAATGGGACGATCCATAGAAAAAGAAATTCATCGGTAGAACATTTTATAGATACGACGTTTCATTAAAAGGGTAGATTTTCATAGAAAGATAATTTCATAGAAAGAAAAGCATTTTTTCATAGATAACTTCAGGTGTTTTTTTTTGTCAGTAAAAAATGCGTCACAATGCGAAAAATTTGAGATCGATACAAATTTTTTTGATAAAATACATATAAATATATAAATGTGCGTCTTTCTGTGAACCGTCCTTCTATGAAATGTCATGTCCCGGACTTCCAACACCTAAACAAACAATAGCTTGGGAACCCAGCTTTGCCAGGAAATTAAGGTTTCCCTGTAAAAGTCAACCTACTAAACTCAGAATTTTTAAACCATTTCCGTGGTTCTACCAAGTTCCCCAATCAAAATTTGAGACAAATCGGTCATGGATTCATGAGTTATTATCGGACAACTAAACTAACAGACAAACTGAGATTTCTACTTTAAATATTGTTATAAATGCTTTTTTATTGAATTGTTTAAATATTGTTGGTTTTTACTTGATATTATGCTAAGTACTGTAATTTATATATTCATTTGATTAGGTGATCACTGCCCTTGGATATACTTGGCATCCGGAACATTTTACATGTGCACATTGCAACCAGGTTCATTTACAATTCTTAATTATTTTACATGTGCACATTGTAACCAGGTTCATTTACAATTCTTAATTATTTTACATGTGCACATTGTGTATAGGTTCATTTACAATTCTTAATTATTTCTTTCTTATTATTTTTTATAAAATGGGCACCGCGAATTTTAAGAACGAGAAAGTAATGGGATTGATAGAATTATCATCTAAACTGTAACAATGTTCTTGCTCTTCAATTTTCAAATATATTTATATTTCTTCTCTTGACTAGTTTGTTCTTGATAAATAACTATTTTAGGAGCTGGGAACAAGCAATTTCTTCGAGAGAGATGGAAAGCCTTTTTGTGAACAGGTAGGACTAATTTGGACTAATGGGGGGGGGACATTCACAATTAATTAAAAATAAAATAATTCAATATTATTTTAACGTCCCGTCCCACCCCTACGTCAGAAATGTTCAAGGGTTTAAACATTTTCATCTTTGCATAATATATAATACTGTCTCTTAATACAAAAAGTAAAAATGTTGATATTATGGTATAATACTGTCTCTTAAATACAAAAAATAAAATGTTGATATTATAGTATAATACTGTCTCTTAATACAAAACCCGCCCTTGGATAAATTTTTGATTCTGCCCTTGATTAAGATTCATGAATTGCATACAAATTTATTCCTAAATATGCAATTTTTTGGATGAATATTTTAAAGCTAACGTTATGAGTTCGGTGTAGTCTAGTTTTCAACCGAGCTAGATAGAAATAATGAGCACGCTTGTAGATTAAATTTAACACGATATATTTTACACTTTTTAACTCCTTAAACCCGGGATATTTTGCGTAATGTGCTATTCTTGACACGTTCATGCAAATAGTAGTTTTGCAATTTTGTAATTTAAATTCAGTAAATAGATAAGAATGAAAGGTTAGCGTTGAGACCTTGTTATTTTATTATCAGATTCTGATGGAAGGTGTAGGTCAGAATTACCCTCCCCCTTCCTGTCCCTCTTTGATAAAATTAAGTAAAAAGATATTATATTCATTGTTTAAAGATCTTAAGAGGCGGGGCCAAAATTGCAACCACCATTCCGGAATATGTTCATGAAAATATTCATGAAAGCTCAATCTTCATTGATATGTTCAAATTACACTTTTATTATGCAAAAATCCAATAGGTTTGATAATCATTAAATGTACAAAGGTTTAAAGCCACTTTTTGCCCCTGATGGATAAATAAATCATCATCATCATAACATTCTTATCATAAAGCAAAAAAAAAATTGATTTAATAATAAGATATTCAGTTTTAAAGTTTTCATGGGGTTGTTCTTTAATAATAGAGAGGCGGGGCGGGGGGGGGGGGGACGGGACGGTTTGACATTTTTATAAATTCAGTTTTGTCTGAAATTATGAAAAGTAAATATTAATCTAGGATTACCATCATCTGTTCTCTCCTCGGTGTGGGTTCTGCTCAGGGCCTATACTTGATAAGGAATCAATCAACTAATCAACCAATAAATCAATCAATCAATTTATCCTCACATTTTCTTTTACTTTTCATCAATTTGTAGCTTATTTTGGAGAATTCGGGACAAATGTGGATTATAATTTACAGTGTTTTATTTTGTCTTTAAAAATAATATATTATGGCAACTCAGTGAGGAAAAAGCTATGAAGAATAAAAGTATTTTTACCTAAACAAAGTAATGTTATAAAAAAATGAAGTTATTGATGGATTGCTCAGTGTATATCTGCCCTTGATAATACTTGGCATCCCGAACATTTCCTTTGCTCTGGCTGCGGTCATCAACTAGGTAATTTGACCTTGACCTTATACCACAAACTGTACATAAACTTGACCTTTAGCCTCAAACTGTACATAAACTTGACCTTTAACCTCAAACTGTACATAAACTTGACATTTAACCTCAAACTGTCTATAAACTTGACCATTAACCACAAAGTGTACATAAACTTGACCTTTAACCACAAACTGTACATAAACTTGACCATTAACAAACTGTATAAACTTGACCTTTAACTAAAAACTGTACATAAACTTGACCATTAACCACAAAGTGTACATAAACTTGACCATTAACCACAAACTATACATAAACTTGACCTTTAAACACAAACTGTACATAAACTTGACCATTAACCACAAACTGTAAATAAACTTGACCATTAACCACTAAGTGTACATAAACTTGACCATTAACCACAAACTTTACATAAACTTGACCTTTAATCACAAATTGTACAAAAGCTTGAGCTTGACCTTTAACTACATACCGAACATGAACTTGACCTTGACCTTTAACCACAGGCACAAACTGTTCACACACTTGAACTATGACCCCAAATTGTGCATAAACTTGACCATGACCTCTCACCAGAAACTTCACATAAGCAGCATGACTTTGAGTTTTCATCATAAACTGTACATAAGCCTGACCTTGATTTCATTAACATTAAAATCGGTAAAGTTTGATCTACCTTGAAATCGATTAACTTTCTTCTAGCTTGAAATCGATTATGTTTGATCTACCTTGAAATCTATTATGTTTGATCTACCTTGAAATCTATTAAGTTTGATGTACCTTGAAATCGATTAAGTTTGATGTACCTTGAAATCGATTGTGTTTGATCTACCTTGAAATCGATTGAATTTGATCTACCTTTTATATGATGTATATCTATCTATCTTTCTAGGAGAAGAGGGTTTCCATGAGAGAGAGGATGCTGCCTACTGCAAGGAATATATTCAATAAAAACTTATTAAATAAAATATATTCCCCCCCACTAAGAAAATAAATAGGGACCAAGGAACCTAGTAGTCACTTTGATATACGGCGATTCACACTTTAATTAAAAAAATAGATTTGTAAATTTATGATATAATGGACAATGTTTCCCCTTTATTTCAAAAGTAAAAATGTTGATATTATGGCATAATACTGTCTCTTAATACAAAAAGTAAAAATGTTGATATTATAGTATAATACTGTCTCTTGATACAAAAAGTAAAAATGTTGATATTATAGTATAATACTGTCTCTTAATACAAAAAGTAAAAATGTTGATATTATGGTATAATACTGTCTCTAATACAAAAAATAAAAAATGTTGATATTATGGTATAATACTGTCTCTTAATACAAAAAGTAAAAATGTTGATATTATGGTATAATATTGTCTCTTTAATATAAAAAGTAAAAATGTTGATATGATTTAACTTTGAAAACATAAAGATGCTTAAATTATAATATAATATTGTCCAGACCTGTTACTTTGATCAGTTTGCACCTAAGTGTGGTGGGTGTAACACTCCTATTACTGAGAACTATATTTCATCTCTAAACCAACAGGTTTGATACATTATTCAAATCCATTAAGCAAAATTTTAGAACTTTTAGACACTTGTAAGGAATATTGGCGGTCCGCGCCAGGGGCGGATACAGTTATTAGGGGTGAGCCAACTCGGAATTTTCTCTCTATTTCCCAAAGCTCCCCTCAATGCTTCTGCAGAGAGCAATTTATCACGGGTGCGCCATTGCTTCAATGCTCACCCCTGAATGTCTCCGCCCTTGCACCCCCTGCACCACACACATCTTCTCCGCCCTTGCACCCCCTGCACCACACACATCTTTATAACGTATTGGAGAATATTTATTGCGAAGAAAAGGGAGACACAGGGGTGTATATTTCAAAAAATTGAAGATCTGGAGGAAAAAATATTTTCAAAAGTGGGGGAGGAATGATTTTTCTGGAAATATACATCCTTGGGGACTGGGGAGATATATTGACTGAAAAATTAATTAGGTCATTTTTCCATTGCAAGAAAGTTGAAAATTAGGAGGGAATAAAGTTGGGAATAAAATATAAGGGAAATAAGAAGGGGGGTGGCAAAGAGCAATCTTCCTGACAGAAATAATCTCAAGAACTGACGAGGGTCATCCCAGACCGAAATATATTTTCAATAAATGTGGAACTAACCTCTACTTTTTTTACTCAGCAGAGGTTTGGTCCATCACCATCACCGAATTTTAAATCAAGTAACAATATACATCTGATTACTTTTAATTTGTTGATTTTCCAGTGGCATCCGAACTGTTTTGTTTGCAAGGAATGTAACTCTCCGTTTAATGACGGGGCATTCTTTGAGCACGATGGATTCCCGTACTGTGAAACCCATTATCATGCTCTCAGAGGCTCATTGTGCGCAGGATGTCATAAGGTGGGAATCTTACATTTTTTAACATTTTTTTATTATATTTATCTTTCAACATATTTCATCTATTTCACTCATTCTATAAGAAGAACTTTTTTATCCATATTTTTTTAAGTACTTCTTTCCCCGGGAAGATGTTTTTTTTTAAAGAAAATGAGCACTTATATTTTTAACAATTTGTTTGCAGCCAATATCTGGGCGATGTATTACAGCAATGTTTCGGAAGTTTCATCCTGAACATTTCGTCTGCAGGTATATTTTCGAAATATATTTATGTATATTATTATTTTTATTTTCTGAACACTCCATATTTAGGAAATTGAAATTTGTATAGTATTTTTTTTTAGAAATACATATGTACGTTATTCGCAAAAGCAAATAAATATCAAAATGGAATAAAAGCGATAAAAAATAAGTGCATTTTGGGGCATTTTTCATTTTAATATGCATGGCACATTCGCTACATTTAGTACGCTCAGTACATTTGGAACCCTTGCTTCATTTAGTACACTCAGTACACTCAGTCACTCAGTACATTTGGCACATTTGCAATATTTAGTACACTCAGTTCACTTGTATACACTTTATAATGTACACTCGCTACTTAAAGTACATTTGGTACACTCGCTACATAAAGTACACTTGGTACACTCGCTACATAAAGTACACGAGTGTACACTTGGTACACTCGCTTCATAAGGTACACTTGGTACACTCGCTACATAAAGTACACTTGGTACACTCTCTACATAAGTAAACTTGGTTCACTCGCTACATAAAGTACACTCAGTACAAAATTCAAATTGTCTTTTTTCCAGTTTCTGTTTGAAGCAGCTGAACAAGGGAACCTTTAAAGAACAAGGAGATAAACCTTATTGTCATGAATGCTTTGATAGACTTTTTGGATAATTCAACAGAATCTGTTCGACGAGAAACCAGTAGTTTCAATGAAAAATTGAAAATAGAGTTGTTTAAAGGGCCTCCTTAAAGTAACAAATTTAATTGACAGAATTCTACACGTTCTAAAATAGAAAACAAATATATTTCACTATTGGTGCTCAGTTAACGGTTTGAATCGAGGGGATAATTTGAAATTACGTTGACAGCCCCTTTAAACATTTCTATATTAATTTAAAAAACTTATACAAAAAATATAACTATTTTTTATAGCTACTCTCTGTAAGTTTTGCGCTTGTTAACTAAGCACCCTATATCAAAAATTGAAACAGCTGTTCCAGTTTTCAGACTTTGACACAGCTTATCTTAACTTTAACTATTCTTAACCACCATCAATAAATTTAGTTAACTGCAATCAAATTTAAATATGAATTTTGACAATCTTTTGTTTTTTTAAGGTTAATATAAAAACAAACTGGATATTTAACATTGTAACTGGCTTCATACGTAGCTTTCGGTGTAAACACAAGAAGTTTTTGTTAAAAAATACTAGAATCTATATTTTTTTAAGTGCCTTTATATAAATACACCTTTTGCCTTGAAAAGCCCCGAGAAAAGTCTGTCAGTTATATTGTACGCGGAAAGCCTTGTAAAGAATTTATATCGTAGATTATTTCTGACAATTTTGTTTTTGTTTTCCCGCATTTTTTTGAGTTTGCATTTTTACAGTGTACACTTTCTGCAATGTTTTCTTGATACTAATGCGTATAATCGTAGAATAGAAAGAAAAATTAAAACAATCGTATACATCATTGACCAATTTTAACTAACCCACTAATATTTACAACTTTAATAAATAATTGATAATATTAAACTTTTTATTTGTTTAATTAGATAACAATTATAGGGTACATTTGATTATTTATCAGGATACAAGAATATTACAACCAAGTCTGATTTCGCGAAATGTTTTGAGCATTGAACATTCTTATAATTAATTTTGAAAAAAAATTTCAGTAGAAACTTCAATTTTTAATCTTACTCCTAACAATTATCCTGAAGTCTTGTTTATACAGGTTTTGATGATTCAGTCTTTTTTCTTAATTTCAGAGTTGACTGCTGTTGTAAATATTTTTACTTAATATTTTTAGTTGTTAGATAATTTCAACAATTTAGACACAGACTACCGCAGACAGATCTTCAATAAACATAGAGAATAGAATATATATTAGAGGGAAATTTAGAGAATCTCTCGGTATGAATTTTTTTAGTCCCTTTCAGCCTGAAAGGGAGTTCAAAGTGTACAAATCATGTAAATGTTCACAAATTATATGCAATAGAGTACATTAATACAGTATGTTCCCTACACTATTCATTTCAATTTCGAATTTTTTAAACTGTTAATTAAACTTTATAATGAATTAGGTGAATAAAAACATCATTTGATTTATAGTTATAACGGAAAATCATCGTTTGTAAAGTGGAAGGCATAGAGTCTATGTGGAATGAAATGAAACCAGCCTATTTCATAATTTGGTTTTCTTTTAACAATAATTTTAGATTTTCTATAAAATTATATTCCAGGGCCCAAAAGGTTATATAGCATAAATATGTGAAGTACACCTGCAGTATGGAAACAGTACAACAAAATGGCCGTTTTACACTTTTTTCTAGTAAATTCCTCTCTAATATATATTCTATTCTCTATGTCAATAAAGTCGCATCTTTTGTGGGTAACCCTGTATCTGAAACCAACTTGGATATTAATTCTGACAATTTAAATATCACTTCACTCTTCAATCTTTGTATTCAAGGGACTCATTGGTACATTAAACATTTTTGCCGAATTAATAATATAATATACAGTGAAACCCTTAATAACGAATACATCGAAAGAACACATCAAATTTCGTATTCTTCACTTTTTGATAATGGAATGTTGCAGATATTTAGTTTTTTAATTAAATGATTATATGGAACTATTTAAAACTGTTCCCGCATACTCATGGGCTATTTATTTATTTTCGCAAATTCTGAAATTTACGTAATATAGTATAAAACTCATTGAAAAATTGCTAAGACCTCATTTGATAAATTCTTCCGATGTATTCGTTATTAAGGGTTTCACTGTATAATATTAATAAAATTGTTATTGTTCAGAATAAACAACAAAGCAACAATTCAGATGTTGAAGTGATGAAAAAAATCCTAATATTGGCACTTCAAGATTAGTACTCGTCAAAAATTGTATTTTTGAATTCTGCATTCATTTTTGTTTTCGAGTTTTTTTTTCAGAGAACTGGTTTTGTAAATTTGTCTTTTGTGAATGTTTATCTCGCTGCTCTCTCATTTGATCATAGCTCTGAAACCACTGTAAGGTTGGAGTCTCGGTTCCTAAGTATAGAATCTGTTGATCTATAGCTGCAGGATGGATCAAAGTGTGTTCCCTGCCAGGAGGTATCACTGGGCGGGCTCGATGTAGGACTAGAAGGAGGGCTCTGATTCTTCTCAGGTCTACCAACAACTCGCTTATCTGGAAATAAAGAAATTGAGTTTAGATGCTGTTAGAAATGGAACTTTAATTGAAGACGACTTAAAACTTAAGACTTGAAAGTTTAGTAGATTAGAATGGTTCAGCTTTAAATATTTAGATTTTTTTATATTTGATTAATACAATAGGCCGTTTTCTTATCCATGTTACCATAGGTACAACTATAGGTCGTATCTATCTATCTACACTGCTCTGGTAAAGCGTAACCATAGTGTGACTATGGTTCTACCTATGGTAGCACGTCTAAGAAATTGACCAAATGCTAGAAATCAGTGAAGACAGCACCCCGAATAAAAATGCTTTCATGATAATAATAATTATAATATAAGGTACAGATGAAAATGCTTATTTAAGAATTGTAACTCAATGCTGCAATTCCAATTGTTCAAAATACCTTTGTCTTGCAGGGGTAGGAATTTTTTAAGAGTATATATTTTTTTAGGGGGAGGGGGGGCAATGATTAGTTGCTTTAATTGAAAAGTTGCCCCCCCCCCCTCTTTTTAACACTTTTTACTAAAATATATATGTTAGAGATATTTCAAGAAAATATATTTTAGAGATTTTTCAAGAAAATATATTTTAGAGATTTTTGAAGAAAATATATTTTAGAGATTTTTGAAGAAAATATATTTTAGAGATTTTTCAAGAAAATATATTTTAGAGATTTTTGAAGAAAATATATTTTTGAGATTTTTCAAGAAAATATATACCCCTGATAAAAAACTAACCTGGTCTACTTGTTTTGATAAGAAGAGTATTATCCTGCCCCTCTATAGCAATACTTTTCCTAAAACCGTTTTTAAAAACTAATTAATTGACTGGGTTGCTCAAAATTAATATTCCTATTTAATTACCCCAATTATAAATATTACATATATTAAAGTCATGAAGTTTGTGAATGCTCGTAAAAGATGTTGAATGGAATAAGATTAAATTAGAAACCCAGAGAAGATAAAGTTCTAATCTTAGAAATATTAATTCTCAGCATTCATCAAATTTTTACTAATTTAACATCAACAAATAACGAGTCTCGATTTATCTTAATATCATTCATTAATCATTATCCATGCAGGTGACGGATTTTCATAAAATTCACTCGATTTCTGAATAGCAATAAATTTTCAATGCTTTATCCAAAAACATTTTTTTTTATTTTAATGTACTTTTCAAATTTCAAAATTGTTATAAAAGTTGTACTGAAATCATATATTGTATAATCGGGGGGGGGGGNGTTACTGTTGATCCTTGTTTCATACTGGGATCCGACCTAGAACATTTTATCATTTTATTCACAGGGTTACTGTTGATCCTTGTTTCATACTGGGATCCGACCTAGAACATTTTATCATTGTATTCACAGGGTTACTGTTGATCCTTGTTTCATACTGGGATCCGACCTAGAACATTTTATCATTTTATGCACAGGGTAACCCACCAAAGATGATACTGTATAGACGACTGTACGGTATATTTTCAATGGTTAATTGTCACTTTTCTTACAAGCATGGTTGCCTACAGCTATAAACTTGTTTCTTCCTTTGCCCAACTATTAGGTATTTAAAGACAAGGCCAAAATATAACGTCATAGATTTGAAAAGTTCAATTTGTCGTTAAAGTCTCTCATACTTTGTGAAATATGACAATGTATAAAGGTCGTATGCTTCCGACAGAGAATATGGGTTATTTGGTTGTAATTTCCCATTTCTGGACAAAATCTAAAAAATCTTCGTTATAAAAGATAAGACCACATTCTAACAGTCGCAATCTCAGGGATTAAATCAAGTTCAGGGTTACCCACAAAGGATGAGACTGTAAAGACGACTTGAAATTCTTGAAATATGAAAATTCCAAGTTTAAATTAACTACAGTCGCAAAAACTCAGGTATAATATCAAGTTCAAGGTTATCCACAAAGGATGAGACTGTAAAGACGACTTGGCACTCTTGAAATATGAATATTCCAAGTTCAGGTTAAGTCTTCTGCCATAAATGTGGTTTTTGACTGGTTTATAAAATGATTTTGCAACGAACGAAAGAAATTTACAGTTGCATGGAATCATGAATATACGGAAACATACAGTATAAATTCCGTACAGTCGTCTCTGAAGGCTCATCCTTTTTGGGTAACCGTGTATTATTTCAATCTAATGTTTCTGTAAAGAGACAGTACTCCACTTACCGCCATTCTCCTCTGAATGGAGTTTCTACTGCTTTTTTGGTACCTTTGGATTGTGATATGAATTAAGCTAGTTTAGTTTGTTTTTGATTGGTTTTGGCTTTTCTTCAACTAAGCCAAATTTTTGTACGCCAAAAAAAATAACAAAAATAAAGGTGATAAAATGATAGTTTTTTGGGTTATTTTTCATTTTCTCTTAGGATAAAAATATTGCTAAGTTTAGAAGAAGCAAATTTAAACTGAATTATGATTTATGGTATATCTATGGTTCCTCCGATACATCCTTTATAGTCCCTTTACCTTGAACTAGGAATTGGCTTAGAGTAGGTGGAGGTAGAAGAATGGAGGTGGAGAATACTAGATTGGAGGTGGGAGCTGCCTGGACTGGAGCAGTTACTGCTGCTCGCCTCCAGATCTATCAAGGGAGCAGAGGAGCGCCTCCAGGTCTCCTGGCATCCTGGGTAGCAGCTTTCAGACTCAACATAACTAAAATAAGCAGCTCTCAGAGTGACTCAACCAGGGGGCGGGCATAACTCTCCTAATTTTGCCTGGCTAGGTTTATACTGTACAGTGAAATTTGTCGAAAAATGTTTCCTTCTGACTGAGTTGGTATCATAGAGTACAGAGCCCAAAACTTAAGACAGGGTATCGCTATGAAAACCAGTTTTGAAACCCGGGTTTCAAGAATGGGGTTAGGCAGTTTTGTGGATATCAATATTTTTGTTGTGAAATATTAATTTATTAAGTTTCTTCATATTCTTAATTTTTTAAAATTTCTTAAATCAAAATCTACACAATTGCCAAGACCCCAAAAAGGAAACTCGGGAGTTTCGTTCAACGATACTCTTTTAAATTTCGGGCTCAGCGNACTTGTTAGAGGACTTTTTTGTATAAAACCATACTGGAGCCAGAAAAAAGTCCTAGAAAATAAAGTCTCGAATTGGTAGGACTTTATTTCCGGAGACTTTTTAATAAAAGGACTTTTTTCCACAGGACTTTTACAGTGTGAAATTTTAGGACTTTTTTGCCGGAAACTTTTTTCCAAGGACTTTTTTGGCGGTTACCGGTCAAATTGACCCTCCCCCCAGCATATTCTGGTTCTCAAGTACCCCAGCAGAGATAGGGTTAAGGAGAAGGATTTTATTTTTTTCTCTATTTGTCATGTCTCATTTTTATACAAAAATCATATGGACTTGTTTTCTTTGCTTGAATATTGTAGTCTTCACTTTCAAACAATAACTTTCAAAACTGATCTACGAATTATAATCCCCCCAGGTAGAATTTCTGAGCGGGTCATTGTGTACAGTGGCTGTACAACAAGAAGTCTAAAATTCCAGATGCCCCCTCTATTACTAATATCTCGATGGTTTCCACTGAACATAGACACATGGAAAACACATGGAAGATCGCCCTTGAAAAATTTGGTAGCTGTCTAATAAAAAATGTATTAAAAAAAATGTATTGACTTAAAACCTTTTCTTGAAAAGTTTGTACAAGTGCAATCTTTGTTTTGAAACACACTGCATCATTCACTATCATTAAACTATTGAAACACACTGCATCATTCAATATCATTAAACTATTGGAACACACTGCATCATTCAGTATCATTAAACTATTTCTAAGAAAGTGCCTTAACATATTTTAAATATGCCAGTTGGAACAATTTCAATCTTTAACTAAATTTCTCAAGTAAAGGTAGGAACGAAGACGACGTTCATTTTATTTTTCTATCTCTCACTGGATGAGTTGATATATGGGGATTTGACAGAAAGGAAAAATCACCATTAAAGAGCAGAAATACCATTGGAACGTTTAAAGTAATCTTTTAAAAATATAGAAAACGTTGATTAATGAATTGATTTGTGTGTTCAGTGGCCGAATTTAAAGAATTTGAGCGTCGGTTTAAATTTAAGCTGCGGCTTAAATATGGTTGGTTCCACTTAAAATTTATCAAATGTTTCAAGATTTAAGCCGGCGCTAAATTTAAACCGGGTTTTGGCGGATTTAAACCGCGGCTTAAATTCTTTAAATTCCATCTCAGAATTAGTTCATCATTAAAAGATGATTATTGATAAGAGAATAATTAAATAAAAAAACATTTATTACCTAAGACCAGGGTAAAGATCCAGAAATGAAGAATTCGATGTAAGACTAATTGAGGGATAGTTTTAAAAAACATTGTTTAAAGCATTTGTACACAAAACTTGAATAGATTTTTTCCGATTATACATAAATCATCACCGCGTGACTCTAAAAATATAATTAGTTCTGATTCTGAACCGATGATTTTCGTTATTTTTGGTCTTTGGACATTAAAATTATCTATGATAAGTTCTTGATCTAATGGGACTTATCAAAACTTTGTATTCTGTGTGATGCAAAGGAATTGAGTCTTTGTAACAAATTCTGATTTTCTAATCCCCACATTTTTCCACCTGATGGTGTAAACCTTTGATATTTCAAACTTAGATTCTTTCATCTTACAGAATTCATAGTTTGAAATATCAAAGGTCTAAGGCAATAAAACAAGACATTCGTACATATATATGTATGCCTATAGGCTAAAAAAACGAATTTTTTGTTTAATATTTTGAAGAAAAAAAATGTAAAACTTGTGTTTGTCCAATTGTTTAAAGATAATTTAAATATCCCATTAAACGAAAATTGGTTCTGAATTGAGGCTCTGGCATTATCTACTGTTTTTTAAGAGAAACCCTGTAAATAAAGAAAATGTCAACATTAAAAGGTAAGTATAGCAAATGTTCTCATTTTCTCTTTTAAACTGTCTCAGATACCAACGGAAACATTCCTTTTACAGATGACAAGTTTTAAGTTTAAAATTATCCCTATAGTGAGAAAATGTTGGACCATTGAGATCTCTTTTTTCCAGAATATATAAACAGTTTCCCATCCTTCATTCATTCATTCATCCTGGAATATAAACAGTTTCCCATCCTTCATTCATTCATTCATCCTGGAATATAAACAGTTTCCCATCCTTCATTCATTCATTCATTCCTTGAATATAAACAGTTTCTCATCCTACATTTATTCATTCATCCTGGTATATAAACAGTTTCTCATTCTAGATTCATTCATCCTTTCTTTGAACATAAAAAGTTCATCATTTATTTATTCATAAAATATTCCTTCTTCAGATATCAAATTACAAAACTTTGGAATAGGAAGACGACTTTAAAATATTCTTGTCTATGTATATATCATGCTAATGCAAAAAAGTTGTTTTTAAAGCTTAAAATCAACTTATTAAGTGAAATGGATCTGTCTGTCTGCACATTGGACAACTTTCAGTCAGAATTTAGTCCAACAGTCGTCTTCTGGTATTCCTAAAAGTTACTGGTCACACTTGATTATTTCTTAGTTTTAACCTGGAGAATTTTATTGAATTGTTTTCAGAAAATCCTGGAATTTCCACTGTCTTACATTTTTCCACAACTTCTCACTAGTGTAAAAAAGTTTATCTGAAAAATAATGACTATTTAAATAACTACAATCCTTCAGGGTCTGACATGATAAATCCTTAATACTTAAATATATGTTTATGACCTAATTCTTCATACAGCCTCTGTTTTTCGAATAAAAGTTAAAAAATTATGCAAATCTTAATGTTCTGCTCATTTTGAGGTTTTATGCAAAAATATATCAGATGATATATTTATTATTTATAATTATACATTTAATTTGGATAATATTTAATATTAATTTCTGAAATGCAATAAATGTAAATATATATTCCCCATAAAATGCATTCCCCTATTTATTTCCTTCTCCGCAGCTCCCATCTAATTTCAATCAAGAAATTTACTCAAATATTTTTTGGAAAGAACATTTTTTTCTGGGCTTTTTAATTTTAATTATTTTTCTATTTTTTTTTATTGAATCGTTATTTTAAACTATTTTTATTTATTTAAGACGTAAAATGTAGAAATTTTTAAGAAAATATTTCTCCTTTATTATATGTTTTACTGTTCCTCTATCACATCTTTTATCTTCCCTATTCAACATTACTTGCACCAATATTCTTTCCCCACTTACCTTTCTCTTTGCCCTTATTTTTTCTTGGTCATATTTTGCTTGCTTACCATTAATTCTTTCATTAATATTCTGCATGCTAAATGCATGATACAGAACCAGGGTTTGTATTTTCACAAATTTACAAAAAATATTATTTTCGAGAATTTTAAAGAAAAAACATAAAAGGCAAGTAAATGTTTAAAAACTAGATTTCAGAGTATAGGGAGGGTTGGAAAATGAAAATAAGTAAATATTTATCCCGGTCTAAATATTTTAAAGTTACATGCATGCTCAACCCCCCCCCCCTCCCCCCCCGTTTACTCTAGTTAAGAAAGGGGGGGGGGTTACGGAATTTACAAATTTTCTAAAATTTTCTTGAACTGATTCCTGAACCTTGGGTTAGCATTTAGAATATTATAAGAGCGTTTCACATAATATTATTGAAATGGAATTTTGATTCTCTGTAAAAAATGTTGAACAGGTCTCATCTCAGCATTTATTATGAAAATATATCAATAAAGAAATAAACTTGCAATGCACATTTTGCACAATATTTGATTTATTCTTTTCTTTACATAGTCCATCAACGGGATTTTTTAGTGACGACGTAAGACAACCCTAACAGTCTGATTTGATTTGATTTGATCTGTCCCTTAACTTTATTATTAACATCTTGATACGATATAATGAAGATATCGTCGTTTTCTGTTTTGACTAAATGTAATATTTTTTCTCCTGTATAATTGAGAAAAGTAATCGAAAATAATCAATATTTAAGAAATACATTTACCTAATGGATTACAAGGGGGCTTTGCGATAACAGCTCTAAGCTATCATATGCTCTCTCCTGCTGCAGTTGTTTACATATATACTATTGTTTTGTTAACACAGTATGCAAGTATGAAATATATGATTTTATTATATTTTTATTTGAATATTTAGATCGAAATACAGTTACGCCGACTGCCCTTTAACGTTTACTAGGAAAAATCTTAAATTATTAATTTCCTACTTTTGAACTTTGTCATATTTTAGTTTATATCCAATAAATTGATCAATTCAGCGGCTATTGACAATTTTACGACAAATATAAAACAATAAAAAATATTTTAAGTAATTTGAATCCCTTCATATTCCGTAACTAGCATTGTTGGTGTGTACAGAAGAGCTTGCAACTACAGAAGGATATCTTAAGAAAATTTTTCTTGAAGTCTTAGAGAATGTTTTATTAATAGAGGAGATACAAAAATAAACACTAGTCATAAATCAATTTATCTCTATGACGAAAACACTACGTATTTATGATAAATTTATCAATAAATGCGTAAATAAGAAAAATAAAGTAAAATATTTTTAACACAAATTTTTTAAACAATTTCTTTCTTATTTCTAACAGCAAAAATTTTCGTTCCATAAATTAATTGTTATATGGAATGGAAAAATATCAAAGCAAGATTCATTTAGATTTTTATGGTTTTTATGTAACTAATCGTCAGTATAACTCTATTTTATATACTCCTCTAAGTTTCGAATCTCGTCTAGACTCTAGAATCTACAATCTTCACCCTCCAGGCTTAATTTAATCAATTTAAGACGAGTGTATGAAAATGCCAGTTAAAAAACTCTTCACATAAATTCATTGCTGGAACAGTAGAAATTTCGCACATGAAATATAGTTCCATATATTTGTTCTTACATACACACATGCATATAAATATAAATATATTGAACACTTTTATCATGAAATATAGTTCCATATATTTGTTCTTATATACACACATGCATATAAATATGAATATATTGAACACTTTTATCAAAATATTATTTACATTTACAAACGAAACTTTGTCCAACGAAAGTATAAAGATCAGAAATAATAAAATTCTTGCAATTTTTTATTTTGTACACTATAAACAGAACTATCTTGAATACAGAACTACAAGGAATACAGAACTACAAGGAATACAGAACTACAAGGAATACAGAACTACAAGGAATACAGAACTATAATTAATAAAGAACTATAAGGAGTACAGATAACTTCAAGGAATACAGAGCTCTTCATGAAATACAGAACTACAAGGAATACATAGAACTTCATGAAATACAGAACTACAAGGAATACAGAGAACTTCATGAAATACAGAACTACAAGGAATACATAACTGCAATTAATACAGAACTACAAAAAATACAGAACTGGAAGGAATACAGAGTTACCTGAAATAGAATACTACAAGGAATACAGAACTACATAAAATACAGAACTTCATGAAATACAGAACTACAAGTAATACAGAACTACAATGAATAAAAGAAATTCAAGGAATACAGAACTACATGAAATACAGAACTACAAGCAATACAGAACTACAAGCAATACAGAACTACAAGCAATACAGAACTACTTGAAATAGAGAACTACAAGGAATACAGAGATTTTCATGAAATACAGAACTACAATTAATACAGAACTACAAGGAATACAAAACTACAAGGAATACAGAACTACAAGGAATACAGAACTAAAAGGAATACAGAACTACAAGGAATACAGAACTAAAATTAATACAGGACTACCAGAAATAAAGAGAACTGCAAGGAATACATATCTACATGAAATACAGAACTACAAAGAATGCAGAGAACTACAAGGAATACAGAGCTGCATTAAATACAGAACTACTATTAATACAGAACTACAATGAACACAAAACTACAAGGAATACAGAACTAAAAGGAATACAGAACTACAAGGAATACAGAACTACGAGGAATACAGGACTACATGAAATGCAGAACTACAAAGAATACAGAGAACTACAAGGAATACAGAGCTGCATTAAATACAGAACTACTATTAATAAAGAACTACAAGGAATACAAAACTACAAGGAATACAGAACTACAAGGAATACATAACTAAAAGGAATACAGAACTACAAGGAATACAGAACTACAATTAATACAGGACTACAAGAAATAAAGAGAACTGCAAGGAATACAGATCTACATGAAATACAGAACTACAAAGAATACAGAGAACTACAAGGAATACAGAGAACTTCATAAAATACAGAACTACAAGTAATACAGAACTACAAGGAATATATAACTACATGAAATACAGAACTACAAGTAATACAGAACTGCAATGAATACAGAATTACATGGAACACAGAACTACAAGGAATACAGAACTACAAGGAATATATAACTACATGGAATGCAGAACTTCATGAAATACAGAACTACATGAAATACAGGACTACAAAGAAAACAGAACTACTTAAGGAATACAGAACTACAAGAAATACAAAGATCTTCATGAAATACAGAACTACAAGGAATACAGAACTAAAAGGAATACAGAACTAAAAGGAAAATAGAACTACATGAAATACATAACTACATGAAATACAGGACTACAAGGTCTACATAGAATACAGGACACTAAGGAATACAGGAATAAACGGAATACAGGAATACAAAGAATACACGGCTACAAGGAATACAGGGCCACAAGGAATACAGAACTACAAGGAATACAGAAATACGAGAATTACAGAAATACAAGGAATACAGGACTTCAAGGAATATAGAAATACAGGAAATAAAAAACTCAAAGAAAATACAGAACTACAAGATTGAAATGTATGTAACATTTAAATATTTGTGTGTAAAATGGTGTGAACACTGTAATTGACTGGCGATACAAAAGAAAGCACTGTACACTGACCCAGCTGCTTGTAAGCTGCTCTAAGCAGCTGACATCGCGCCTGATTAACCGCAAGCTATAAATAGCAGCTGTTATAAACTTAAACAATTGCACTTAATTTTCTAATTCTTGTTTTCTTATTCCTTCTGCTCCTTTAGCTTTGAATACTTTCTTTAAAGAATTTCTTGGGTTCTGGGTTATTAAGACAAAAAGCCATTATAGATTTGTGTGACGAAAATGGTTAAAAGAGAGAAAACATCAAATTTCTCTCTAAAGAACATGTTTTAGTGAAAAAAGACCAATTTTAATGTCCCACAGTTGGCTGATAAGCTGATAAGCTGATAAGCTGATAAGTTGATAAGCTGATAAGCTGATAAGCTGATAAGCTGATAAGCTGATAAGCTGATAAGCTGATAAGCTGATAAGCTGATAAGCTGCAATTTCTATAAAATGCCCTGGAAAGAGTTTTTTCAACCCGCTATTTCTCTGTATTGCAGTATACGTGAATCCTGTTTTTCTACAGCCTCTGTCAAGATTTGACCTAAACCTAAATGTGTTGCAAAATCCTGTTTCAATCAAGATCAACAGATATAACTAGTTTTTTTGCACACAAAAATCGCCACTTGGGTTTTATTATATCTTTATTTTTTTGTTAAAGCAATAAAAATTTGAATTAACTATTAATGCATATTTACTGACAATTGTCAATGTACATCTGAAGATGAAGA